AAAGACAGGCTGTGACTGTGAGTCTGAGGGAACTGGGCAGGGAAAGGCATTTTGGGTGAGGCCCGCAGACGGATAACTCCTGGTGGGGAAGGAGGCTCACTCTGCCATTCTTTCCTCCATTAGCAGAGGAAGACCCGAACCTTGACCAGACCCGCCGGTCTGAGCTCCGCCAATATCCTTGATGTCCCTGCCAGCCTAGCCACCAGGTTCCAGTGCCCCCACCCTGTCCTTCTTCCTGGAAAACCCCCTAGGGATTGCTTTCCTGGGACTCCAGCTTCCGCTGCTTCCAGGTTGATCTCTCCCGATTACACATCTGACCTGCCGCTCACTTCTGCCTGCCCTCGCTCCTGTTGCACTTGAGATAAACAGCAAGCCTCGTGGCCTGGCACACCCGATCCTACCTGCTGGGCCCTGGCCACCTCTCCAGCCTCGCTTTTGCTGCCACCCCCCCCCCAACTCGCCACCTTTGTACCTCAGGCTCCAGCCCTGTTGATTTTTTTTTTTCATTCCGAATGCATCTCTCCCTATCTCTGTCTCTCCATCTTCCACCTCTAAGCTTTTTCCATTTGCTGTCCCCTCTGCCTGGAGTGCCCTCTCCTCGCCATCACCCCGCTAGTCCGGCTAAGTCCTCTACCTCCCCATCACTGAGATCACTGTCCTGTCTTACCATCGTCTCATTCGTCTGCTCCCCTGGATCATGTGAGCTCCGGGAGGTCTGTCATGTTCTCCATCACATCCCCAGCATCAGCATGGAGTGCAAATTTGTTGAAAGAGTAAGTGGACAAATAAATAAACTGTGGGAGAAAAGCCTGGGTGCCGGAGTCAGGCCTATCTGATCCCCAACTCCGCCATAAGCTGGGTGACCTTGAACAAATCCCCTTCTCTCCCTAAGCTCCAGTGTGTTCATCTGAAAAATGAGGCTTCAAGTCCCTTCCAAGCCAGGCACAAACTGAGGTTCCAAGGCCTCCTGCACAGGGCAGGCCCTCTGCTCCCTGTTAAATGGTTCTAGAATGTGGCCAATTTCTGTGGACTCTTGGCCTCTCAGGTCCCTTAGGAGGGCAGTGAGCTGCAGCCCTGAAGCCCTAGAGCCTCCATCCTCCCACCCCTGCCACCAGGGGGAAGAAGTGTCATCATCCCCCTGGCCACTGCCAGCCTTGCATCTTTGTGGCCTGGGGTTAATTTTTAAAGAGCAGCTCAAAGTCCAGGTGGTCCTTAGCAGAGTTTGCTCTCTCTGTTTGCTCTAGTTAATAATCTCAGGAGTGCAAACATCCCTGGAGGGCAGGAGAAGAGATCAACACCCGGGCCCCTCCTCTGGGCCTCTCCCCACCCCCAGGCCTGGAGCTGCTTCACCCCTGTGTGCCTCAGGCTTCCCATCTGGACAATGGGATTGATAACCCTGATAATATAGACCTGCTGTGGTGATTAGCTGAGCCACCTTGGTAAGCTGCTGTTGTTGGGTGCCCTCCAGTCAAATTTTCAACTCATAGCAACCCCATGTGACAGAGTAGAACTGCCTCATAGGGTTTTCTAGGTTGTAATCTTTATGAAAACAGAATGCCAGGTCTTTCTCCCACAGAGCCACTGGGTGAGTTCGAACTGCCAACCTTTCAGTTAGCAGCCGAGCACTTAACCGTTGTGCCACCAGGGCTCCTTTGGTATGCTGTATACTCTATTCCTATTGACAATTCATTGCTATGTATTCTTATACCAGGCCTGGTTTCTCCAAAGACAGGTGCCTGAGCCCATCACACAGGAAAGGCTGTTCACAGTTTACAGAGCACTTTCACACACATTGTCTCGCTTGACTCTTGGCAGACAGAATAGGGACAGCTATCTTCAGTTTGCAGATTAGAAAATTGAGCTTTAGAGAGCGAAAGTCATCCCCAAAGTCACACAGCTAGTAAGAAATAGAGCAAGGAGAAGTTAGGGCTTCTGGCTCTCAGTTGCCTCGTAATTTAGACTCCTTGCTACCACTGTTAGCCAAATCATAAAAGACAGAAACAAGACAGAAGGTAACTGTCCCAGAAATCTAAGTTGAGATGGTTACTGTGATTGAACTTGTTACATTGCTTTGAGCTTCCTGGCAGCCAAAGCAAAGAGGGAATGCAAACAGTGGCCAAGCTGTCAGGGATGGAGCAAAGGAAACATACTTATTATGAATAGAGACATACTTGTTCCTGATACTGATGAACTGTATTGACTGGATCTTATAGGAGGGACTTGAAACACCATTTGTTCACACAACTATGTGAGCAGAGGTCTCACATGAGAGGGATCTTGTTCTGGGAACCAACTGTCTGCAGGGATCATTCCCAGCTCTAGCAGGGAGGCTGCTGCATGTCTGGAATGTTCCATGCCAAAAGTAAGGATGAAGTGAGCGCAGTAGCTCTGACCACAGGAGAAGGGAACTTCATAGAGAGGTCCTGTGGTATCGCTGACAAGAGTTTGAGCTTTGGAGACAAACAGATTTGGTTTTTTTTTAATTCTCATTTTAATGTTTTTATTTCATGATCTCTGTATTAGTTTCCTAGGCTGCTGTAGCAAAGTACCACAAGCTGGGTGGCTTGAAACAACAGAAAATTATTCTCTCACAGTTCTGGAGGCCAGAAGTCTAAGACTAAGTTGTCGGCAGGGCCGCGCTCCCTCTGAAGGCTCTGAGGAAGAATCCTTCCTTGCCTCTTCTAGTTTCTGGTTGTTACTGTTAGGTGATGTCAAGTCAATTTCAAATTATAGCAACCTCGTGTGACAGAGTAGAACTGCCCTGTAGAGTCTTCTAGGCTGTAATCTTTATGGAAGCTGATCCCCAGGTCTTTCTTTCATGGAGCTGATGGGTGGGTTTGGTCTTCTCTAGCTTCTGGTAACTGCCGGCAATCCTTAGTGTTTCTTGACTTGTAGCTGCATCACTCCAATCTCTGCCTCCATCTTCACATGACCTTCTTCTGTGTGTATCTCTGTGTCTGTATCTGAATCTCCCGCTCCTTTCTCTTAGAAGTTAGGACACCAGTCACTGGATTTAGGACCCATCCTAGCCCAGTAAAGGAGCCCTGTTGGCACAACAGTTAACAGTTAATCCAATTAGCTTGGATGCTAACCGAAAGGTTGGTGGTTCAAACCCACCCAGCAGCTCTGCAGGAGAAAGACCTGGAGACCTGTTCTCATAAACATTATAGCCTTGAAAACCCTATGGGGCAGTTCTAATGTATCACATGGGGTTGCTATAGGTGAAAATTGACTCAATGGCACCTAACAACAACAACTAATCCAGTATGATCTCATCTTAACTAATTACATCTGCAAAGACCCTATTTCCAAATAAGATCACACTCATAGGTTCCAGGCAGATATGTAGGTTTGGGGGGGCTCTAATAGGCCCAACTGAAGTTACCAAGGATTTCATTCTTCTAGGATCAACAATCAAGGGCCATGGAAGCAGCAATCAATAAATCAGATGACTCACTGGGCAAATATGCTGCAAGATGCCACTTTGATGACTAAGGTGCGCCTGACCCAAGCCATGATATTTTCAGTTGTCTCACATGCATGCAGAAGCAGGACAATGAATAAGGATGACCAAAGAAGAATTGACACATTTGAATTGTGGAGTAGGAGAAGAATATGGAATACACCATGGACTACCAGAAGAAAGAACAAATCTGTCCTGGTGGAAGTACAGCCAGAATGCTACGTAGAAGCAAGGACGACGAGACTTCGTCTCACTTACTTTGGACATGTTATCAGGAGAGACCAGTCCTTGCAAATGGACGTCATGCTTGGTAAAGTCAGTGAAAAAGAGGAAGAGCCTCAATAAAATAGATTGATACAGTGGATGAAACAATGGGCTCAAACATAGCCACGATTGTAAGGATAGCACAGGACTAGGCAGGGTTTCATTCTGTTACATGTGGGGTCACTATGAGTTGGAGCCGACTCGATGGCACTTAACAACAACAATATTCAGCCCTTTCCACATACAGCTGTTCCTATATGCCAAGTGCTGTTCTAGTGTTTACAAGTATTAACTCCTTCAATCTTCACAATAATGCTATGAACTAGGAGCTATTATCCCCATTTTACAGATGAGGAAAGTGAGGCACACAGTTGGTAAGTAGCATGGCAGGCAGTATAGCTCCCCAGCCAATGCTCTCAAGCACTTCTAAATGCTGCCTCTGCCAGCAACTCCATGTCCCAGCTGGGGGCGGTGGGGGGGATCCCTGGGTAAGTCACTTCTCCTCTTGGAGGCTCAGATCCCCTATCTGTAAAGGGGAAAACATCACCTACTTCACTGGGTTGTTGTGAGAATTCAGTTCAATTCCATGGAGTGTGTAAAGTGCCTGCTACAGAGCAGTCACAGAGCAGTTGTTCAGTGAACGGAAGCTGTGATTATAATCAACGTCATTATTATTTCTACTGTTATTTGCAAGGGCTATGGGAAGCCTTGGGTCAGAGAAGGAACTCTAGGGACAGGAGCCTGGGTTCTGGTCTTGGCTCTGACATAGATTTCCCTGTGGTCTTTGGTAAGTCACGTCCTCTCCCTGGGCCTCAGTTTTCTCATGTGAGAAATGGGCACAACTAAGGTTGTCCTGCTGGCTCCCGGGGTGTGAGCTCCAGGGGGAATGCTCCGGCTGGAAAGGCCAGGCACTGCCTGTCTCTTCCATCCTCACATCCCCCCTGGAGAGGTGGGGAGTCTATGGGAAGTTTTCTGGGGGCTGAACACAGACCAGGCTGCACCAAGGCCTGTGTTTGGCCAATGTTTATTCTGAAACAGCCACCCTTGTCCCTCGGTACCACTGACCCTGGTCAGGGGACCACAGGGGATCGATCAGACCTGGCCTTTGGGCCCTGATTGGTCCTGGCTGATCAGGGCAAACACCAAGGTCATTACAAGCCTCAGGCACCTTCCCCAGCCTCAGTTTGCAGCTGCCTCATGCGGGAAGGTGGTAGCACCTCTGTCCCCAGACCAAGCCCGTGAGTAACGCCCAGGAGTGGAGGAGCCAAGAGCCATGCAGAGACTCGGGGCCCTGCTTCTGCTGCTGACCGCCTGCCTGGCAGTGAGTGCCAGCCCAGTGAAAACACCACTCAACGACATCCAAGTGCAGGAGAACTTTGACCTCCCTCGGGTAATGGAGGCTCAGTGGTGGCGATGGGGCGGCGGTGGGGTATCTAAAGCTGCCAGGCCTCCCTGGGCAAGCCCTGCTTGTCTCAGGACCTCAGTCTCCCCACCTGGAACACCAGTGGGTCAATCCCTAAGGGCCTTCCACTCAGACCGCCCAGGATTCTTTGAAGCTACAACTCCATGCCTCTGGCTTTCTGTGGGACTCTTGTCTGACGTTCTATGAGCTAAATGCCCTCACGTTCTAGCCTGTTCTCTTGGGGCTCCAAGAGGGACCCATATTTTGATTAGAACCCACCCCAGAGAAGGCTCTGGCCTGAATGCTGTTGCCCCTGCAGCCCCTCACCCAGGTGCCTATGTTTTTGTGCCTCTCCCTGCCCACCCCACCCCCAGCCCTTCCTTCTTTAATCATATCCTTTTTCTTTCGACGGAGTCCCTGGGTGGTGCAAATGGTTAAGTGCTTGAGTCCACCCAAAGGAGTCAAGGAAGAAAGGCCTGGTGATCTACTTTGGAAAAATCAGCCACTGAAAACCCTATGGAGCAGGTTTACTCTCACACACAGGGGGTCGCCATGAGTCAGAATTGTCTTGGCGGCAACTGGTCTCCCCTCAACATTTCTCTGTTAGTAGGTCCTGACTTGTGAATGGAGATATGGGCTGACCCAGAGTGGACATGTGCCCACTAGCTTTGGGGTCAGGCATTTGGAATAATGAGAAGAAGAGAAGCAGGACAGAATCAAGTCAGACAGTATGGGCTGGTGGGATTAAGAGGCGTGGGCATGGGGAGTGCTCTGGCCTGGGGTAGGGTGTGGGGTGTACGGAGTCTGAGGACTGTGTTCCAGCACAGCTCTGCCCTGGTTCACTGGCTGACCTTGAGTAAGACCTTACCCAGGGGATCCAGACCCTTCCAGCTCTGGCGTCAGATGGATTTTGTTCATGTTTAAGGGCAAGGAGGGGTTGTGGGCAGAGGGGCCACAAGGAGACGGGCCTTCTGGTGGTGTCAGATGGCGAAGGCTCTGAGGCTTTTGGGCTCGTTCAGTAGGAGCTAGAGAGCTCTTTCAGGTAATTTAAGTATGTCAGGAGGAAGCGGCAGCAGGCTTGTCTTGCATGGCCCAGTCATAGAGGAGCTCAAGGAGAAGAGAGACTTTCTGTTATGGAGCTATGGCTGCCTTGCCAGGTGGTGTGCCGCCTGTCACTGGAGTAATGAAAGACAGGACTCCTGCTCTAGGGGACCAGTGGTTGCTGGCCTTAGAGCATGAGGATTGCACCCCATCCAAGTGAGCAAGGCAGACCCCACACCTCAGCAGAGTGGGCTTTCTGCCTGCAGTGTAGGACCCCATCTGCACATCTCCTTTCTCAGCTTGTAGGGTGCCTGCAATTCCACCCTTAGGGCTCCATCCTCCCCTGGAGGTCTTTGGCCTCCAATTAACCAGAAGACATTATCACTTAAAAGCACTGGTCATTGAGAGTAGGGAGGGGAGTAGGCTTCAGCCAAGTCTTCTTTGAGGTCTGAGGGGAATCCAGATCCCCAGAGCTTGTGGCTGCTTCCTAGATCTACGGGAAATGGTTCAACATAGCCATTGGCTCCACCTGCCAATGGCTGAAGAGGTTGAAGGCCGGGCCGACCATGAGCACCCTGGTCCTGGGAGAGGGAGCTACAGACACAGAGATCAGCACAACCAGCACTCGTTGGCGGTGAGTGTGGGGGTGTGGAGAGGAAGGGGTGAGAAGGACCAGGGACCCACCATCCTCCCCTGGGCTTTAGTCACTGTCCTGGAAAGTTACAGATCTCTGCTTCCAGCCTGGACTTCCACCCTAAGCTCCAAATCCCTCTACTACCCTTTGCCCTTTGTAACTGTCCCATGTACACCTCAAAGGTAAAGTCCCCAACGCTATACCTGCCACCCAACCTGCATCTCATCCTCCAGCATTCCATAGCTCAGTAGGGGCACCTCAACTCCAGGGACCCAAGCTGGTAACCTAGGGAAGGGTGGGGGGTGGATCCTAGACGCCTCTCTTCCTCTGCCACCCTCCATTCAACCCACCATCAGCCCTGTCCATTCTCCTCCTAAATCTCTCCAGTCTGTCCACTTCTCCTCTCTCCACTGCCACCACCCTGGTCCAAGCCACCTTCCTTTCTTGCCTGTATGTCTGCAACAGGCTCTCTCTGCTACTCTTCACCTCTAACTTCAAACCTTCTTTCCAATTCATTCTTCACCTAGCAACCAGAAAGACCTTTTAAAAATTCAAATGTGCTTAAGACCCTTTAGTAATTTCTTATTGCTCTTGGGCATAAAGTTTAAACCCTTTGACTTGGCCTTCCAGGCTTCTCCCAGCTCTTGCCACTCCCCACGCCACTCTCTCCTGTGTACGCTATGACCCACCCAAATAGTCCTTCTTTTTAATCTCCGGAGCCCTCCATGTTTTTATACCTTTAGGCCTTTAGACTGATATTCCTTCTGCTGAAAGCACCTCTCCCCACCTCCCTACGCTAATTCCTGTGGATCCTTCAGACTCAGGTTCCATTTCACTTCCTCCAGGAAATACCCCCTGATGCCTCAGGTTCAGGTCACATGCCCTCCTTTGTGCTCCCAGAGCACCTTGTACTTACTTCCCCCACATGGCACTTATCACACTGATTGCATCACCTCTGGCCTCCCCACCCCACTCGATGGTAAGCTCCATGAGAGTCAGGGTCAGACTTGCTCACCTCTGTATCCCCAGCATATAGCAGTGCCTGGCACATAGTGTTGCTCAGTAAATGTTAACTGGATAATAATCATTGTAACAATAGTAAGTAATACATACACAGTGCTTATTCTAAGCATTTTCTGTATATTATCTCATTTAATCCTCACAACACCATGTCATGTAGAAATTATCACTATCCCCATTTTACAGATGAGGAAACTAAAGCCAAAAGAGACACAGAATAATAAATGAATGCATTAACTTATCACTCCAACAGTGCATCAGGATGATGTGCAGATTGGGTTGAGGAAGCTGATTTTTAGACCTGGCTTTGCCAAGAGGATGCCATGGCTCCCTCCCTTTTTTTCTCTGACCTTCCATTTCCTTAGTAAAATGGGGACAGAACTCCCTGAGAGCCTCCCAGGGCTAATGTGAAGGTAAACAAGATACCTGGAAATGTTAAGGGCCTTGCAGGAAGATGAGGTTTCAGGAACATGGGATATACCAGAAATTGCCTTCTCTTTGGTTTGTTCATTTCCAGGAAAGGCTTCTGTGAGGAGATCTCTGGGGCATATGAGAAAACAGACACAGCTGGGAAGTTCCTTTATCACGGATCCAGTAAGTGGGGTTCAAGGAAACAACCATGGGTCTCTCCTTTGCTCAAAAATACCTTGATGACTTCAGCTCTTTTTCCTTCTGCCTCACCTCTCTCTGTCCCTATAACCTTTCCTCCCATTTCTCTGAGGTGGCGTCTAACCTTCCTCCAAATTCTTCCTTCTTCCCTTTCCTCTCCACCTCCTTTTTCTTCGTCTCTCCCCTCCCCTCTGCTCTTCTCCCTTCCCCTGCTCTTTTCTCCTTTCCTCTCTCCTTCCCTCTCTTCTCCTTTCTCTCTGAAGTTCAGAATAGGGTGATAGTCCCATGAACAGTGCTGCATGCTGAGGGCAGCATGAAGATTTCATCAGTCTTCATGTCTCGTCGGACATCTGCAATCAGCTGATAAAATTTACTAAACATCTACCGTGTACAGTGTAGTGATAGAATGATTTGGACATGAATTTATTCATTAATTCAACAAATGCTTATTGAATATGCTTTATGTGTCAAATAATTGTGTTAGGACTAGAATATTCAAATGTTTGGATAGATGGATAAATAAATGAGGGAGAGAATAAACAAATGAGGGTAAACAAATGCACATATGGATGGCAGATAAATGAATGAATGAATCAATCATCCAACAGATAAACTGATGGATTAATGAATGGGTAAAAAAAGAAAAGAAAGAAGGAAATAGATAAATTTATGGACTGAGATCTGGAGAGGATGGATAGATAGAGCGGTGGTAGATAAATTAATGACGAATATACGTAGGAGTTGGATGGATAGAAAGAGAGAGACTAAAGATGGCTGAATTGATAAATGAATATATGAAAGGGATGAGTGGATAGATGGATGATGGATGGATGTGTGGGTGCGTAGGTGAAGGATCTCAGGCTAGAAGGGCCTTCTGTCCACTGATCCCTTTGGTCTTCTACATATCTCATGCAGAATGGAATGTAACCTTGGAGTCCTATGTGGTCCACACCAACTATGATGAGTACGCCATTTTTCTGACCAAGAAATTCAGCCGCTATGGACTCACCATTACTGCTAAGCTCTATGGTAAAGGCCTATAACTAGATTTGCCCACTGGAGTTGAGGGCGGGAGGAGATCCTTGACTTCTGGATAGTGGAGTGGGGAAGAGCAGAGATCTTTGCTTTTTTCTTCTGACAAAACTCCAATTAGGTGAAAGGTGGAAGGAGAAGGTAGAGCTCAGCCTCCCAGCTGAAGTGGAGTCCTTTTCTTTGGATCTCTAAAATTCCAGACCCAGAACCTCGAAACCTTTAAAAGAACCATGGAAAGAGCCCTGTGTGGAGAGTTGGGAGCATGGGGATGGGTACCTCTTCCCCTATCTCTCCATAATTATATCAAAGAGATTGAACTGGGTCAAGAGTTTTCAAATTTTCCCTGAATGAAAACCACTGAGCAAGATAACCTCCTCTGGCCCTGCCAGCCCAGGTACATGGGGGTTCTAGGTGCCTCTTCTGCTTCTCACTTGCAGGGCGGCAGCCTCAGGTGAGGGAGAGCCTCCTGGAGGAGTTCAGGGAATTTGCCCTGGGTGTGGGCATCCCTGAGGATTCCATCTTCACCACGGCCGACAAAGGTAAACAGCACCTCCACCCATCTCACATTCATGCCCTCTCCTTCTCCTTCACTGGCCCCCAGAGAGCATCTTCCCAGCCCATGGAGCTTGGCTATAACCTCTGAGATATGCAGGGATCACAGTCTCTCCCCAGCCTCTTTACAGAGAAGAGAGCTGGGGCCCCTGGATTTGCCCCAAGTCACACAGTACAGTGTGTACCTGGCAGAGCTGGGACTAGAACTAAGTCAGTGTTCATTCTACTGCCACATGTCTAAGTAAGGTTGTATCCAGAATCCTTAGGTACATCTTAGCAGGCAATAGAGTGTTGGGGTTAACAACATGGGCTCTGGAGTCAGAGCACTAGTGTTCAAATTGGCTGCTTTGAGCTAGTCAGCCTCTCAGAGCCTCATTTTCCTCATCTGTAAAGTGGGGATAATAACGCCTGTCTTAGAGGTTGCTGTGAGGAATCAGTGAGATAAAGTCTTAAATACAATAGCACTCGGCCAGGTGCTTAGGAAGTACTCAATAAATGTTAGCTATTGCTGTTCTTGTAATGATATCGATGAAACGATGATGGTGGTGGGGTGGAGATAATGCAGATGGTTATGGTGCAGCCACGAGTCTTTTTATTTTCCAGTAAATGACCTTGAAAAAGACTACTGGGTGGAGCCATTCATAGAAGTGGACTAATGCACGAGACAGTCCCAATGCCCACCTAGCACATAGTCGGTAGCACCATAAATGAAACAAAGTCTTCTCTGAGTCCAGGATTCCCCACACACCTGGTCCTCTTATTCATCCCTCTCTCCTGCCCTGTCCCCATCACTTAGGTGAGTGTGTCCCTGGAGAGCAGGAGCCAGAACCCACCGCAGCCCTGGTGAGTACATCATTCTCCTGCCCCATCCCCACCCCTCCCAGGTGCTTTGCACACTTGGTTTTTGCTGCTCTTGTTTAGGCCCTGTGCTGGTGGTGGGCAGGGTCAGTGAGGGGGGCTGAGAAAAGGCAGTGATGGGCATGGGTCAGACCCACCTGGGCTCAATCTTTGTTCTGCCACTTAGGTAACTTGTTGCCCTACCTAGACCTTATTTTTCTCAACTGTGAAATGGGGTAATTACATTTACCTTCTAAGGTTGTGCTAGAATTTAATGAGATGTTGGGAAACCCTTAGCATGATGTCTTACAGAAATAAAGTACTCAATAAATGAAAATTAAGTCAATAGATTTCCCTGAAACATAGAAAACCCAAGAGCAAGCATCTTCTCAAACCAACTCTTCTCCTACGCTGGCTTCTGCTTTTTTTGGCCATCTTGGTTGGAATACCCTTGCTCTGCTTCTCTTTTAAAGAGCTGCTAAATATCCCCCGTAGGGTTCTTTCCACTTGGTTGGGGCTGGAGGTGATGTACGGCTGTCTCATGGCCACACACCCTGAAGCTTTAGACTGTGCAGCCCAAGGTCCTTTCCTTCCATTAGAGAGTCAGCCTCTAATCTAGTCTCCCCTTTTCGCCTTTTCTCCCCAGAAGCCATTTTTGCTACTCCTCTGTCAGAAGAGGAAAAAGACAGGGTGCCCCTCAATTTTCTTCTCTCTGGATTTGGGAAGATCAGAGAGAATTATCTTAAATTGGATGACTTGCCAGTACTGGGGGTTGGAGGGCAAGGTTACGCGCTGAACCTTGCTGAACTATTCTGTTCATGTCCAGAGTATTTTGTTTCTTTCCTCGATCGCCAGTTTTTAAGTTGTTGCTTTACATTATGCCCCTCTCCTTATTTGAGTCATGTTGATGAAAATATAGGGGATGTGCTCTTTTAACCATCCACTCAATGGCAACTTGTTTTTGATTTTTTTTGGGGGGGAGAGAAATTTTGAGGAAAGTTTCAGTCTGCTATCTTAATCCAGATGTCAACTAAATCTGTATTTCTTAATCAATGTCAAGAACGATACAATAACTAATGACTCCTCTTGCAAAAGAGAGAAACCTAGCACACTTCGATTGCTTCCTTTTAGGTTTTCTGCATCTCTGCCTTTGTGGATATGATCTGAGATTGATGTTTACATTTTCCACCTCTTTTGTTTTCTTTTTCTGAGCATTAGTTTTAATGTTTACAATAAATTGAATAACGATTTTAGCAATTATTTAAATGTAATTCTTTATTTGATTGGCTTTATAGCTTGCCATCATTTACAGCCATCACATCTTCCTTTTTTTTTTTTTATATTAGTGTCTCATTTTATCTGTTTCCATAACTGTTGGCTCCTGTGATGTTGATGCAATATCATCTTGAATTTCATTGATGGTTCAAGTTTTCTCCTGTATATTACCATCACTCAGTGTTTGGTAGGGATATTTCTTCAGCTCAATCTGATTCTTCTTAGGCAGCTCTATTATTTAATTAGTTCCATGATTTTTCTGTTCCTCCATCCTCACCGAGTGTCTTAGTTTCCCAGTGCTGCTGTAAGAGAAATAATCCAAGTGGGTAGCTTTAAAGAACAGAAATTTATTTTCTCACAGTTTAGGAAGCTAGAAGTCCAAATTCAAGGCATTGGCTGTAGGCAAAGGCTGTCTTTCTGTCTGCCCTGGAGGATGATCCTTGTCTCAGTTGCTGTAACCCTGGCATTGCTCGGCTCCTTGGTGATCCTCGTGTTTCTGTCTTCCCCAGTTTATGCTCGTCTCTGTGTCTATACTACTCTTGATATCACCTAGAAGTGGTTAGGTTGAGGACACACCCTGCACTGATACAGCACTGATACGATAACAAAGAAAACCCTCTTCCCAAACAGGCATAGGGGTCAAGACGCCAACATATATTTTGGGGGGGCACAATTCAGTCCATAACACCAAGGAAGGTTTGTGTGTGACAGCTTGAAATGGGTTCTGACTGAGAGAGGGAGTCCTTGATTACAGCTTCAGTGCAACTTGAAAGGAAACATGGGACATTTAAGGTTACTATGTTGTTGTTGTACACCATGGAGTTGATTCCAACTCATAGCAACCCTACATGACAGAGTACAACTACCCCAGAGGGTTTCCTAGACTGCTGTGTCTTTTCTTCCACAAAGCTACTGGTGGGTTTGAATCACTGATCCTTCAGTTAGCAGCTGAGCACTTAACCGGGCGCTTAACCACTGCACCACCAGGGCTCCTTAAGGTTGCTATAGCTCTATTTCCAGGTTCCAGATCTTGCCTGTGGGCAGGAGGACTGCCTGGTGGCTGGTAGTTTCACTGCCCACCACTTCTTTAACTGGCACCACTGCCCTCATTGGGAGCCTGCCTCAGCAATACCACCACTATACCCAGCACATCACCCCAGAGATAATGCTGGGTGGGGGCTGCTCTGAAGTCCTGCCTCAGTGGACTCTATACCCAGACTCCTTGACAGCACTGGCAGCCGCTGCTCCACAGTGCCCCCCACCACAGGGTGTTAGGGACAATCTTGGGGTCCCTTCGCCTTACTCCCTGAATGGCTTTTCCTTTGGCAAGCAGCAAATGGCCTGGTCAGCCCCTCCTGCAAACCAGCTGCACCTGTACTCTGTCGTGCAGAAATGCTTTCAAGATCCTAGCCTGGAAATGCTGTCCTTCCCAGGTTTCTGACTCAGGGGTAGATTCTTCTCCATTATATTCTTTGGGGCATTTCAATAGGAAGATGGGGGTGGGGGTATTGCTATACTTCTCAGTTGTAATTATTTTTTCAGACCAGAAATCCATCCTGTGATGCTCATCCTGAAATTCAGGCTGATTTCATTAGCTAGTCTATGAGTGGTGCTTCTGTTTATGTTCTGATCCCCAGAGCAAATGTGGTTTGTTTACATATATTCCAAAGGTCATTGTAGTTAGTTGTTGTTGAGTCAATTCCAACTCACGGTGACCCCATGTGTGCAGAGTAGAGCTGCACCATAGGGTTTTCAAGGCTGTGACCTTTCAGAGTAGATTGCCAGGGCTGTCTTCTGAGGCATCTCTGGGTGGGTTTGAACCCTTCAGTTAGTAGTCAAGTACTTAACCACTGGCACTACTCAGGGACTTCTTATTCCAAGGGTGTAGGTGAACAATAGTAGTGAGATCCCTGCAACAGCTTCTTCTCTTTCTTTCCCCTAGAGAGCCCGGCGGGCTGTGCTACCCCAAGATGATGAGGGCTCAGGGGCTGGGCAACAAATACCTGATTTCCACAAGAAAGAAGGTAATGGTCATGTGCCTTTTCATTCCCTTCTACCATACTTTAGAGGAGAAGGGCCCACAACTGGCTCACCTTGGCTGCCCTCACCACCATGAAGTCTCCGTTATCTCTCCACTAGGGAGTCAAGGACTGGGTCTAGAAAGAGCAAATCAAGTCTAGGAACCCCTACTCTGCACTGGGTCAGGGCTGGGGGTTGGCGGGTGGACATAAGGCATGGTCCCTGAGGTTAGGCACTCCCAGCTCCATGATGAGAAATGACTTCTTCCCCTACCTTTATCACTGTGGCCTCCTAGCCTTGGTTTCCTTATCATTTCGGTGGGAGATCAGCCTACTCATGGGCAGATTATCCAATAGGCAAGGTAAGCATGGTGCTTACCTTGCTTACCAAATCATCTGTAGTGAACAATTTCACATGGATTTCATCAAAGATGTGGTGAAACCCACGTGAAATCATTCACTACAGATTAGTAAGTAAGTACGAGTAAGCCCATGCTTATCTTGCTTACCGGGTTTTCTGCCCATCAGGGATTGTAAATGTGAAAAGAGGCTTTGATTCTGTAGGAAGGTGCTGTGGGGTTGGGAGAGAGACAGATGCCAGCCATACCTAGAAGCAGAATCTTTGATGGGGTGAAAAAATGTGGAATTGTTCACTACAGTGATCTGGTAAGCAAGGTAAGCACCGTGCTTACCTTGCCTATTGGATAATCTGCCCCTGAGCCTACTGTGCTGACTTTCAGGGCTCTTATAGGAGCAAGTGGGGAAAGAATGTGAGATTGTTCTGTGTAGTTGAAAGTGTTCATGATTGATTCATTTTGTGACTTGCTCAGTAAACACTGAGCCCTGCTCTGTCCCATGCCCTGTGCTGGCACTGGGGTCGTGGAGAAAAACCATCCCCACCCTTGAAACTTCTGGACTATCTAGCAGGGGAAGGAGCCAAGGAAGAAAATGATGCACCCAGCAGGGAAGGTCAGCTAAAGGACTGGGGGAGCTCAGAGGACAGAAGGGTGAGGGAACAAGGAGGATGTCCCGGATAAAGGGACATCCTGCTGTGTCCAGATATGCAGGTAGGGTTTTATTTGAGATGACATTCCAGGGGCAGGGAACAAAGACAGCAAGGGCTTGAGGGTGAAGAGGTCAGGCTGGCCAGCATGGGCGCTGGTGAATGCATTATCCACTACTATTATTACAGATTCTTGGGGTAGACAAGCCCATCACAGGGGACAGTGGGGCTGTGGGTTCCTCATGTCATGAAGTGGAATAAGCATGGGTTTTGGAGTCCAACAGAAACAGTTTTGAATCTTGGCTCTGTGTGACCCTCAGCAAGTCACTTCACCTCTCTGAGACTCAGTTTCCTCATCTATTAAACGAGTTGATAATCCTTCCTGTTAGCATATAAGTGAAAACTAAATGAGATAATGCATGTTAAGTGCCCAGCCTGGTGGTAGGTACAAAGTAAGCACTCAATATATGCTGATGTTCTGCCCCTCCCCAGATTCCTGCCAGCTGGAGCATGACGTAGGTCCCTGCCTGGGGATGACCAACAGGTATTTCTATAATGGCTCATCCATGGCCTGTGAGATTTTCCAATATGGCGGCTGCTTGGGCAACGGCAACAACTTTTTCTCAGAGAAGGAGTGTCTGCAGACCTGCCGAACTGTGGGTGAGTGCGGGACACCCCATCTTGTCTCTGTGTACTCTGCACCCTCTCCCAACAAACCACCCACCAACTTAACAGGTAGCTAAGAGAGGGTGCATTAATGTTGGAATTCCAGGGTACTTTTCCTGAAGCCATAGGAATTCCACTTTTGTTATGGGTGACCCTTGGCAAGTCATTTCCTGTGGACCTCAGTTTCCCAATCTGAAAAAGAGGGGCAAGGTGTTCTAGAGGAGCGGGGTGGCCTGGCTCAGGCCCTTGCCATGTGTACCCAGTGAGCAGTCTCAAGGATTACTAATGCTCTGTGCCTACTCCCCCACCCCAACAGCGGCCTGCAATCTCCCCATAGTCCCTGGCCCTTGCAAAGTCGTCTTCCAGCTCTGGGCATTTGATGCTGTCCAGGGGAAGTGCATCCTCTTCAACTATGGGGGCTGCCAGGGCAATGGCAACAAGTTCTACTCAGAGAAGGAGTGCAAGGAGTACTGTGGCACTCCTGGCGATGGTAGGATGCCCTGCGGGGTGCCTGGCTGGGCCAAGGGGCTGTTGGGTCTGGGTGGGACAGCGCTGGCAGAGGATAGGGGTAAGGAGCGCTGAGTTCCGGACTCTGTACCAGGTGACCAGCCCATCCATCCTCTGGAACTCAGCTTCCCACCTGTGAAGTGGGGCGAAGCCCTATTGGGGACCTGGGCAGAGGGTGTGCAGGGCAGGCTGAGCAGCCAGGCAGAGCTGGGCTCTAATTCAGGCACTGCCACACCCAAAGTCCGGGCACTTTGAAGTTTGGGCAAGTGCCAATTTAAGCCTGTTTTCTCTTTTGTAAAATGAGACTTAACTGCCTGCCTCCCAGACATGACAGTGCCCCGCGCATAGTTAGCACTCAGCTAATGGCAGCTGTTATTAATAATACAATAATGATACAGTCAAAAGACCAATAGCATGCAAGGCAACAGCAATGGCTTAGTATTTCTCTGCCTTGATTTTCTCACTGGAAATGGCACCTCAAGTAAATCAGAAGAGGGCATTCACTTTGGAGATATCAAATCCTTCCGCGAGCAGGACTTTCTGGCCCCAGGTGCAGGTCCTTATTCGCCCAAGCTGCCTTCCCTCCTCCCTGAGGCATCCCCATCCCCAGGTGTCCCAGCCAAGGGTCCTTAGGCGAGCCCCACCCCCATTCCCTGAGCCTCTCTGTGTCCACAGATGAGGAGCTGCTGCGATTCAACAACTGATGCAGGCCAGAGGGTGCAGGGGAGCCTCGGCCAGTGTCCATCCCAGCACCTCGGGCAGGCCGGGCTAAGACCTGGCTCAATAAAAAAACAAGTGATAAACTCCTGAGATTCCACGTCCTGACTCTTCATCGCCGTCATAGTTGTAATGAGGTGAGGGTGAAGAAGGGGAGACAAAGCCAGGGTGGGGACTTAAGAATCCCCCAGCATTTCCCAGAAGTGAAAAATGTATGCGCTGGGAATATAATAAAACTATCTTCAATCATGCGACTGGCTATGTAAATTATGAAGCATAATCACAGTTCTATTTACCCCACAATAGTGTAAGATGGGATTGTTTTAATAACACTGGAAAAGAAGAAAAAAACCCAGGTGCTGGTTTCTGGGAGAGGCTACCATCAGCAACCCGGAGTCACAACAAGTAATTGTGCCCTAGTATGCCCAGCGGTTCAGAGAGAAGGGCCCACATGTGCATGAAATAATTCCTGCTCCTCTGCCGCTCTGAACTCCCCTACCCAACATTTCACCTGGGTTACATTCAAGCCATGTCCCCAAGTACCAGCTGCTGGGAGCTGCGAAGCTTCAGGCTGCTTCTCCACGTAGCACTCTGATTTCTCATCCCCTGGGGTCCCCGCACTGGCCCTTCCCCTGGAAAGAAAACAGTTCACAGCACGTCCCATGGACAACCAGCTGGGCCTTGGATCCGAGCCAGCGGCCCTGGGTGTGGCCTGGCTTCTTCCACTTGAGGAAGAGGGTAGTAGGCTGTCCAGGGAGGCTCAGGCTCTGCTCTGGCTCACAAGCACACTCCAGAAGTCTCCAAATTAGACACTGGATTTACAAACCTCCATCTATAAATATCTTGTGTGTTTTGATGTGGAAAGCCAACCCTGGCAACAGAGACACAGGCAGGGCCAGCGTGCCTCTCTCCTCCGTGGAAGCTGTGTGGGAGAGCTGGCTCAGAGTATGGCCGAACTCCAGCAGCCAGGGGCTGGGGAGGAAGCATCAGGCCAAGCAAAAGCCATGGGGGACTACATGAGTTGCCGCGTGGAGATGCTGCTCAGATCTTCAGAATGAGCAGAGGAAGGAGGGCACTGGGGTGACCTGGCCTGGCCCCTCAGTTGGTTTCCCAGTTGTTCCTTCCGCATCCCCCACTGCTGGCCATCTGGGCCCTGCCTGAACCTCTGGGATTGGGAGCTGTTCCCTTCTTCCCAAGGTGGACTTTCTGTTTCTGGGCAGCTCTGGGAACAGTGAGCCCAGACACTGAGCAGAAATGTTTCCACAGCTCCTACTGTCAACTTTTTAAGTGATAGATGCTGTCATGGATTGAATTGTGACCCCCCCAAAATATGTGTCAACTTGGTTAGGCCATGATTCCCAGTATTGTGTGGCTCTCCTCCATTTTGTGATTTTCCTATGTGTTATAAATCATAATCTCTGCCGGTGATTAAAGAGGAGTAGGGTGGGATATAACACCCTTGCTCAGGTTACATCCCTGATCCAATGTAAAGGTAGCTTCCCTGGGGTGTGGCCTGCACCACCTTTTATCCTACAAGAGATGAAAGGAAAGCAAGCAGAGTTAGGGACCTCATACCACCAAGAAAACAGTGCTGGGAGCAGACTGCATCCTTTGGACCTGGGGTTCCTGCACAGATAAGCTCCTAGTCCAGGGGAAGACTGTTGACAAGGACCTTCCTCCAGAGCCAACAGAGAAAGCATCCCCTGGAGCTGACACCCTGAGTTTGGACTTGTAGCCTACTAGACTGTGAGAGAATAAACTTCTGTTAAAGCCATCCACTTGTGGTATTTCTGTTACAGCAGCACTAGATAACTAAGACAGATGCCATCAAGGATTTGGCAAAAGCCACGGACACTCTTCCCACAAAATGGACAACATGCACAACACATATAATGTCACACATCATACGGGAAACCCAGGCCACCAAGTAAAGAGGCACGAGAGGCACATGAATGACCCCTGGGCACGGTGAACTTGGACATATGCCTCAGGCATTGGGTCTGTATGACTCAAGAGAATAAATCCACTCCTCCTTCCATGGGACAGTGATCTACAGGTAAGGCCTGGGAGGGGCCAGTTTCTGTTGGCCCTGCATCCCTCTCTCATTTATCAAATACCCGCTGAGCTGGGCCAGGTGCTGGAGATGAACAATGAACAGGCCTCTCCTGCCACCTAGGAGTTTACAGCTAAGGAGTCAACACCCCAACTCACAGAGCCCGTGTCCCCCTTGGGGTGCCCTCAGGTCCACCTCCCCTCACGAATGCCCCTGTAGGTGCGGTGCTCCTACCTGGATGCTCTGGCCTGCCCCAAACCCAAGAAACACACCACACACGGCCATCTTCCTAAAGGTCGTTTTATTGTAAAACCATAAATACAACACTGACATGAAATCATTTAAGCAACTGATCCTCTCTAACTGTTAAAAGGATGTCTTTTCGCCTTGGCATCAACCAACTGGGAAATAATGCTGCAAGAATTCGGGGGTAGGGTACTGAATTCTGGGCTGGGGCTTTTGGCGACTTAAAGGAACCAAGTGGAACCTTCCTCTTCTCCCTGGGAATGTCCCACTTTTGGACAATAACTGACAGGTAATAACAGCAACATTTAAACAGCTCAGTTTCTATTTTTATTACTTTGTAAAAATCTTTTCTTTCTTCTGTTCCTTTCCTCCATTTGACACCAGTAAAAGTTTTAAACATCAAGAAACTGATTTGGCTGTAAATGGAGAAACGGTACCAAAACAAAGAGAAACAAAAAAACCCAAAGGACAAACAGAAAACCCTAAATAAACCCTCGAGTTTGGTCTCGGAGGTTTACATGTCACAAGAACCGTCAACTCAACCCCCATGCAATTTTCCTTGGAGAGCCGTTGGATCCATACCAACGATACAGGAGACTGCAAACAACGTCATTTGTTAATTAACACAGCAAGTGTGACATTAGGTAACTTTTTTTTTTTTTTTTTAATACAGTACATGGTACACAGGGTCCCCAAGATGGCCCTGCGTAAACCCCTCGTGAAGACTTTAGCCAAGCACTGGCTGTTTATAAAAATATTGTGTTGCTACAAAAGTATAAATTAATGCTACCGGTATTAAGAAATATTAAACACATAAAACTTATAAGGATTAAGAAAAATATTCATTAATACCTGTAGAAAACTCTGGCCTAAAAAAGATATTTTTTTGTGTTTTTGTAAATTTTTTTTTTTTTTGTATTTTTTTAAAGATGACTTGAGTTTCTTGCACTCGAAGAGAGAGACACAGTCAGATGTGTCTGTGGTATTGCCTAGAACGTCATAACTACTGAGAAAGGATGGGGGTGCACGCACGTGGTTACTGAGTGGGAGTGGGAGAGAGGTGGGGGCACCAAGGCTTTCTCAAGATTTACCTGATGTGAACGAATCACCAGCATGAACTTGCGGGGAAAAGAAAAAGGTAGGATCAGAAAACAACTGAAAATAATTTACGCTTCTTAAAAAATCTCTCTGCTTCTTCGGGTGGTTGTACAAAACGGGTTCCTGATGTTTGGGATCAGAATCGCTCTGGGTGCATTGCCTGTGGTCTAAAAGCCCCCAGCTCTGCAGTGCAGTTCTTCTCCTGGCTGGCAAGTCCTAGCCCCAGATCACTGCTTGGGAACCCACCCATCCTAGCTGGGCAGGCAGGAGGATCCTTGGCTGGCTCCTGGGTTGTGGGAGAAGGCCCTCTTTCTGGCTGGTCTCAAGCCCCATCGTCCCGGCCAGCCTGGGTTTCAGGAAGCGCCACAGGAATCGCAGGCCCCTGAGGTTGCGAACAAGGCTGGGCCATGCCCCTTTAAGGAACTTTGGTTCAAAGAGTCAAGGTGTCTGGTGGGACATGGGCCTCAACCCCGTGTGGGTGGGTAGGACCCTCATGGGTCGTGATGCTAATGCCCAACTGCAGATCTAGCAAATTCTCCTCTGTACAGTTGGATCTTTAAAGTGACACCTGTGGAGGAGGTGGGACATGAAGACATCAATCACTACCTAGCGATCTTACCCTTTATGAAAATGGAGCAGGCGCCTCTTCTCATGGAAACCACAGGGCTCTTTTGGTGGAAACCAGGGCTCTACTGGCCACGATCCTCAAACCAAAATGAGGCAGGAAAGCAACAAAATCCACCCCTTGGAAACCCTAAAAAGGGGAAGCCGGGAGGGAAACATGAGAGGAAAAACACTGTATCATTGGTTCACCATAACTGGCCTAGCGAGCATTAGCCACACTGAAGGAGAGGTGAGGCCCTGCCCAGGTCTCCCATGGGCCCGGCTTGATGCAGGGGTTGGGGTGAGACTGGCAGGGCCAGTAGCTCCCCATCTACTGTCTCAGGAGACAGCCTGAGCCTTCGTCTCTTGGTTTTGTCCATAGCCTTCTGAAGAGCCCTCCCTCCTTCAAATACATCTCAGAGGTGGAGGCGTGGCACCATTCCCAACGGCAACACTACAGACTTGGTGCAGCACAATGGGGCAGGGGGAGGCTGACTGCCCTGCTTTAAGCATCTCTTCTTCCTGTCTCTTCAAGCACACCCACCATGGTGACAATATTCGGGACACCTCACAGGACCTCCCTTCTCCATCCTCAGCTCAGATTCACTTCAAGCCTTTCTGTGAACCTGTGGCCCCCTAGAATGTATGCTATATCCCTGACATCTCTCTAGTGTCCACTTTCTAAGGAGTCTAGACCAAGTCCAGGGGGAAGCAGGTGCCCCTGTTCAAGAGCAGGTGTCTCCTAAGACACAGGAGGTTCAGCTTCACAGCGGAAAACTTGCCTTGTCGTTGTTCTCTGCTGTTTCTTGAAAGTGCAGGAGATAAAGGGGGCAAACTGAAGGAGTGGACTCTTGCCAGACTGACACACCTTCTGTCCAAAACGTTCTTTTCTGGAATCCAGGAGACCCATAACTTCTCATCCATATCACTCTCTGCTTGCCTGGAAGCCATGGTACCCTTTCCCAGTCAAGAGTCAATCCCAAATGCCAAGCATATCAAGTAGGGTGGTGGTGAAGCTCCTCACTGACTGACACAGCAGGGGACCTTTTACACTGTGAACCTCCCAGAGAGGAAGTACGGGCAGAAATGAGTTTTTCTTGGTGGCCCCTCCATTCCGTTTCCACAGGCCTGACTGACTGACCCAGGTAGAGGGAAAGGGAGAATTGTGCTGGGACAAGAACATCCAGTCATGGCAGATGGTACTGCTGTTTTTGGTGTTGCTGAGGGACCCTCCCCTCCTTCCACGATGCTGTGGTCCTTGGCCTGGGCTTTGCTGGTGAAACAAACTAACCTCAGATGAGGGCAAGCCACCACAAAGTGGAGGCGTGCTTTCTCCTCCTCCCCACTGGGGTCCATGAATGTCAAAACAAAGACCACTGCTGTTCTGGCAATCCTGGGGCTTGAGCTGAGCTGTATTCAAGTCAGCAGGCAACCATCTTGAGCTGCTAAGAATGACAGAAATGGTCCAACTTCCTGGTCTCCCAGCCCCCAAGAACTCGCAGTGGTCACAGAGCTGGGACGCAGACAGCAAATTCTTTACAAAGTCAAGGGCAGGCTGAATGCCAGGAGATGGGCTGGAAGAGCCTATCTCAATCCTTTGGCTGAAGCAGAATTTGAATAAGGTGGATATTGCTGGAAATAAAGGGGCCAATGGCTCAAGCTGTTCGTTGCAGCAGGATTTACACTAATGGGAATAGGCTCTGGGAGAAAGGAGACTGAGGGGGGCCCAACCTTTCTTGTTGGTGACACCACTATTTGGGGGAACTGAGGGCAGAAGAGAGAAATGACTGCCTGCCACCTTGTTATCTGATGGAGGAGATGGCTTTCTGAGTACTTAGTGGCATTCACATCAAACCTGCAGAGGCAAGCCAACGTCTAAGTACTAGATTGAGCTGCGAAGTAGGATCGAGGTATGAGGTGACAATGTATGAACAGATGTCTAGAGTTTAACAAGACCTACTCTGTCCATTTGTCTTTCTGGAAGGCAGATATCCCCAAGTTCCAAAGACAAGAATGCTGAGTGCTCTAAATGCACATCTCCACTTGGACTCTGATGACTCTGCAAGAAAGTGGAATGCCTAACCATTTTCTAACCGGCCCAGTGATGGGGAGACACTAGCACAGCTCTGCTCCAAGCAGAGGGAAGACAACGCTCTGCTTCCATAGACCTCACAAAGTGGGCAGTTCTTATCTTCCTTGTGTGGCTAAAAGTGCCAGGTCATGGACTATTCCCCAGCAGCAACGCAAAGCTGGAGGGATCTTTTGTTGTAGGCATCTGTCAGTCATTAGCAACCCTTCTGCCACCTTCTGGTATGCCCTTGAGGGTCTGACCCAAGTCTTCATGTGCTCCCAAAATGTGCGAAGTGGTGTGAGGGTGCTGTCCAGGTTTCTCCCCTTTTCATGCAAATGGAGACTCTTCTGATGGCATGATCCCAGCTGGAAACGTGGTGGAGGAAATGCCTAGAACTTCTCCGGGGGAGGAAATGGTGTGATGATTCCTGAGACCATGGCTTGCTGGAGCAAATGTGCAAATGGTCCACTCTGATTCATTTCTCTTTCAATCCGTCCAAGGCTCTGGAAGGAGAGTTGGGTGAGTTCTCATGAGGCAGAGTGTGCAGGCTTGGCCCCCAGGACTGTGTTCTGGGCCCAGGGCTAAGCCTTCTTGAGTTTTCAACCAACTTCACGCCCCTCCTGCCAAGGATCTGGGGGGTGGGCGGTAGGGCTATCATACAGTGCTTTTTGTAGTCGAGGTATCTTGTAGTTGGGTAATGCTTTATCACTGGGAAAGGATGGAGGCGGCGTAGCCAACCCCAGGATGGGAGAATGTGCCTTTGCAAATAGCCCCCCACCACAATGGTGGATATTCTCAGATGGAGCACTTAGCGTAACATGTCTTCCCCACAGCTACAGTCATGGGGGCGGGCGGGGCAGGGCGTTGGGACCACAAGCACTTTATTCACTAACAGGTAGGGCTGCTGAGCACTGATTCTGATGGAACCACTTCTCGAGCACCTGGACTGAGAATGTAGAATCTCAATTGCTCACAAACAGGGTAGCAGGACAGAAAAGCCTAAATACATCTTTCACAGCATCAAGTCAAGTGTGGTCTAATGCCACCCCACCCTCAAGAACATCAACCGTTTGGCCCCAAGGCACCATGCTCAACAACTGTCTTAGAAAGGAGGCCTGAGGGGACTCCAGGGGCTGTGGGCCACCATACTGCCTGAACCCCTGGGGTTCTGGGAAGGGAGGGGAGGCTGTGAGTCTGAGGTGTGATGAACATGACTATGTGACTACAGATGGACTCCAGAGTCCCTGCTGAGTGGGAGTGTCAGTGAAGTGGTGAGTAGTGTAATGCACTCTGGGTATATAAATCGGACATTCGCAGTACCAGACACAGCCAACCAGGAGGGTGGGTCTTCCACTTACATTCAGGAGAATTCCTAAGCCACATGCTTCCCCTATGGCTTCCACCAAACGCAACATGTGTGAAACCTGTGACTCCTCCCCCGCCCCTGGTCTCCAAAACAGTGCAGCCAATTTCTTGGTCTTGGCTGATCAAATACGTGAAAACTCTAGACTGTACAAGGAAGGCTAAATAAAAACCTTAGGATTTTGGATATACCATTGAGATGAGCTAGTTTACAGTGTGACTTGAAGAACAAAAAGGGCAATTAAAAAAAAAGACTCCAAAACATAAGTTATACACATTCAGTGCCTCCTAGCAGAGTCTAAATAAAATTTAAGAAACAAAACAACCCCCCCCAAAAAAAGGTAGAAATTGCTAAAATGTTAGGAAAAAAATCACTTAAGGAGTGGAGACAGTATCTGTACTTATCTGAAAAATGTCTTTTTGTTTTTCTATCTTATATTAAAAAGCAAAAAGTCAGCTTTATATTCTTAAAGTCTCCTTTCCTGATTTGGGGAGATAGACAGGTGTGTTTCTAAGGCGGCTACCCCAAAACACCCAAGGGGTGTCACAGAGGCAGCAGCTCAATGCCCTGAAGGTGAACAAGAAACAAAGTCCAGTGCAGAAACTGTCCATCTGATGCCGTTTAGAGAATCCATGGCAGAGCAGCCGGAGGAGAGAGAGGGGACACAGGACAGCAGGGGTGCTGGTGGGGGGGAGACAGGGAACACGGGATGAAGGACAGAGAACGTCAAGTCACTTCAGATCTCAGCTGCCTGAACATTTTACAACATCAGCTTTCTACCAATCTGCACACCTGAAAACGGAGTCTTTTAAAGCCCCCTAATGGAGAAAAAGGAGGTGAAGTGTCTTCCCTCTTTCCCACACACTCAGCTTTCCTGACATGCCCAGTTTAACGCACACGTGCCCACGAGTAGGCACATGGACATGCACCAGGGTCGTATGCGTGTGCACGCATGCACGGAGCTTCCGTGGCCATGGAGATGAGCACAGAGCCCCCCACAACCACGGAATGTGCGCTCACACATGCACACACATACTGAAAAAAGCACTTAAGTTTCCAGGGGGCATTTATAATGAGGTCCACAGTGTTTAGAACTTAAATTCCTTTTCTTTGTTTGTGACAGTGTTGTGTTTTTTTTCCCTAATGTTCTTTTTTTTTCTTTTCTTCCTTTCTTTTCTTCTTTTCTTCCTTAAAGTCAAGTCTTAAAGCATGTTGGATTTCAGAAACATGAGTTTGTTCATATCTTCTGGACTTAGCAGTCGTCTCCTTTTGATTAGAAGGGCCTGTTCACACATATTTACACACTCGCTCCTGGCCCCCACTGCCGGGACTGCTAAGAGCCAGAAGGCAAGCTTGGCGAGTTTCGTGTGCTTTTGGGTCACACATGACCAGTACTGGAAGAGATCAGGGGTGGCCTGGAAGAGGGGCTCCTGCAGGTAATCGTAGACCTCATTCTTCCCAAGCCGATCGTCCTCCTGAGCTGTGGGGTTCTCACCAGTGGCAGAGCGGGGCTTCTTGGTGGCGGGTTCAAAGTCGGCCTCCTCAGTCCAGGACTCCTTCACCTCATTGATGAGCTCGCAGACCTTGCCAATGATCTCCTCATGCTGGTAGGGCGGGACGGGCCGCAGCTTCTGCTGCGGGTCCAGAATCATGGCTACCTTGTGTGCGGGGTGCACCTTGAAGTTCTCCTTGAGTGCCTCCAGGAAGAGGTGGCACAGCTTGCTGACGGTGCCTGCATCGTTGGCCTTGGCCGTGAAGAGCTTCTCCAGACGGACGTAGGTGGGCAGCACCAGCTGCAGGGTGGGCTGGCTCTCATTGCTCAGCTCGATGACTGCTTGCTTCACTGGTGTCAGGATGGCGGCCAGGTTGCTGAGCAGGTGCTTGTTGAGGCTCTGGATGAGGTTCATCTTCTTGGCCCGGCTATAGAACTCGCAGATCTGCTCATAGCGCTCGTGCACCAGCAGCAGCGAGTCCGTGACTGAGTTCCAGCAGGGCGGTGGTGAGGTCTCCTCCAGTGACCCGAAGGTCTCCTTTGCCAGGCCGGTAGAGCCCGCTAAGTCCTCGCACACATTGAGCAGCTCAATGACCTCGTGCATGCTGCGGGCCTGCAGAGTCCGCTTGCTCAGCACACTCTGCACCACTGAGTTCAAGGCACAGGCTGAGCAGCGAAGGCACATGCCGGCCTTGGAGAAGGCGGACGTGCTCACCCGGCAGTCTGTCACGTACACCGTCCTGATCTCCGACATCACAAACTCCGACAGCACGTTCTGCACCCAGTGGTGCACCAGGTCTCCACTGTCACGAATGTCTGCGCCCTTCACACCCAGCACGTAGCTCTTTATGTGGTTGCCCTCGGCCTGGTAGGCTGTGAGGATGTAGCAGGAGTCAGGGCCGACGCTCTGTGAGTGGCAGGTGACGCCAATGCCCAGGCAGGCGTTGCTGCCCAAGGCACACGTCACCTTCACCTTCACCTGGTTGTACATGCGTGGCAGGTGCTTCAGCGCCAGTGTGTTGAAGTTGCCCAAGATCTCAGTGACAGAGAATGCCCCATAGCGGGCACCGCTGTCCACCAAGGTCTGGGCCAGCTTCAGGAATTCCTTCCCACTCACCACACTCAGCGCACCCAGGTCGGCGCACATGACTCGCAGCAGCCGCTCTGCGATGTTCTGCCGCTCCTTCTCGGGGATCATGCTATTGTTGGGTGTTAAACCACTGGTTGTGGCTGGTGGGGGACACAAAGAGAGATGTAATTAATCCCGGCATTTGAGGCTCCTTGATCCAGCTGCAGCCTAATGCTCTAAGCACCTAGTATTAGGATATAATGAACGGATTTCATCTTGCACACAATTTGGTGATGCTGGCTGCTTTTAGCATGTGACGGTCTCACAAGAATAAAGTTCTATGACTGATTAGTAATGCCTGCCACAGGCATGGGAATAATGCAGAGTGGTATGTGTGCAACATACTTGCTGTATCTGTCCTTCACCTTGACCTCTGAGGCCAATTACTCTAATCTCTTCAATATAGGAATTGCCTCTAATAACATCTCTGGGACAATAAAATGTACAAGGCAACAGCAAAAGGAAAGAAGAGTAGCCAACAGATAATGTGAAGAGGTAGATTCTAGTTCTGATTCTCTCACTAATTTGTGGTTTCTGATCACAAACAAATCACCTCCCCTCCCTGGGCTTCCTTTGGCCCATCCAGTGAAGTGATAATTCCTGCATATGAGGTCTTAGGTGTAAATGTGCTTTTGAGCCTGTTGTGCATTATCACGCACCATCGTGGGAGGCAGAGGTGGTGGGATGGTGGACAGAGGCAACAAGAGCATGAACTAGAAGGTCCGTGGGTCCCATGAGCCACCAGGGCTCCAGCCCTGGGAGAAGACCTACTGTTATTGGCACTGTTCCTCTGCAGTTGAGGTTTCCACTTCTCTTCCACAACAGCAGATGGTGATCGAGATTGGTTGGAGGCCATGTTGTTCTCATTGTCAGCTGTGGGCACACAGGGACAGTTTGTTACCTTAAAGTGCAAGAGGCCTGCTTACTAAAAAGATGAAAAATAGAGCACAGTGGGTAAAAGAAAAACATGGCTTCTGGGAGTCAGGCTAGGGTTCAAAACCTGGCTGCTCCTTAGACAACTTTCTCATGTTTGTGAAGTCTCATTTTCATCATTTGGAAAAATGAAGATAATCATATAAAAATTACCTGCAGTGGGGTTCCCACAAGTCTTTGCTGAATACTGATCTGTGCATGCATGGGGTGACATTCCACAACAAGGCTGATGAAAGAGCCACTAGACAGCAGTAGGTACAATAATTCCCAAGGCTCACACAAGGTGGGGACAATTTGCATTCTCATTACCCAGAGCAGAGAGACCTCAAGGCATGAGGAGTTATGTAGACTCCCCTTACTATGGGGTAACCTAGCCATAAATTAAAAACTGCATTAAACCTGCCCTAATATGTATTAGGAAACCCTGGTGGCATAGTGGTTAAGAGCTACAGCTGCTAACCAAAAGGCTGGTAGTTCGAATGTACCAGGAGTTCCTTGGAAACCCTGTGGGGCAGTTCTACCCTGTCCTATAGGGCTGCTATGAGTTGGAATCAACTTGACAGCAACAGGTTTGGTTTTTTTTGGGTTTTAATATGTATTAAAGAAAACTGCAGAAGTATCAAGCTGATTCCACATAATTAAACTGCATGCCAGAACAAAGTTCAACACTCTTTAAAGGAATAGAACAAAATCCAGAATCCAACAATGTAAAATTCACAATGTCCAGAATCCAATAAAAATGATCATATATTCAAAGTAGTAGGAAAATATTACCTATAAGCACGAGAAAAACCAATCAATAGAAACAGACCCAGAAATGACAGAATTAGCAAATAAGAACCTTAAAACAACTGTTATAATTTATACAAATATGTTCAAAGATATAAAAGAAATCACGAACATGATACGGAAGAAAATGGAAGATGTAAAACGAAACAAAAAACAACTCAAGTGGATCTTCTAGAGATAAAAATAAAATGCATATGAAAAATGGACTATATGGGCTAAGAGGAGATTAGATGGCACAGAAGAAAGGATTAGTGAACTTGCTCATTCCATTGTTGGATGGGGCAAGAGAACTATCCATTATGAAAAACAGAGAGGGCAAAAGACTGAAAATAAATGTACAGACAATGGACAGTTTCAAGCAGTCTAATAAACATATAATTGGAGTCTTGGGGTGAGACAGAAAAATATCTGAATAAATAATAACCAAAAATGTTCCAAACCTGATGAAAACCGTAAGCCCACAGATTCAAAAAGCTCAACAAACTCCAAACAAAATAAACATAAATAAAACACCATCAAGGTATATCATTCTATCATAAACAAATTGTTGAAAGCCAATTAAAAGAAAATCTTGAAAGTAGCCAGAGGGGGAAAAGGACACATTATGTACAAATTAACAGAAATGAGAATGACAATACACTTCCCATCAGAACTTATGCAAATCAGAAGGCAATGGAACAAAGTACTGAAAGAAAATGTCAACCTAAAATACTATACCTAGTGATATTTCAAAAATGAAGATGAAATAAAGACTTTCGAGACAAACAAAGGCAGACATTCACTATAAGAAATGTTAGAAGAAGTCCTCCAGGCCCAAGAGGAATGACATCAAATAAGAATCTAGATCTACTAACAGGAATGAAGAGTGCTGGAAATTATATACATGTAGATAAACAAAAAATATTTTTCCCTCATATTTCATATCTTTAAAATACAAATAACTGTTCACTGAAAAAATAATAACATGTACAGTGTAAATGCATGTAAATAATAACATACAGTGTAAATGTAAAGTAAAATGAATAACAACAATAGTATTACAAGACATGGAAGGGAAATAAAAGTATATTGTTGAAAGGTTCTCACAGTATTTGGAAAAGGGCCTAATATTTGAAGATAGACTGTGAGAAGTTAAAAATATATAGTGTAAACCCTAAATAAATCATAAAAGCTAAAACAGAGTTATAGCTAATAAGTTGGTTGTGAAGATAAAATGGAATAATAATAAATTCTGAATCCAAAAACTGCAGGACATTTTTGTAAAAAGGAACAAAGAACAAAGGAGATAAATAGGAAACAAACAGTAACATACCAGATTTAAACTCAATAATACTGATAATTACATTAAATGTAAATGGTCTTGACATTTCAAGTAAGAATCAGATTGTCATACTAAATTAAAAAAGACCCAAAAATACGATGTCTAAAAGAAAGCTTTTCAAATATAAAGGCACAGATTAGTTAAATTAAAATGCTGAATAAAGACATAACATGCAAACAGTAATGAAAAGAAAGCTGGAGGTGTGATATTATTATCAGAAAAAAAATAAACCCCAGAACACAGAATATTACCAGAGATAAAGACACTGCATGATGATATCACTGCATAAAGATAAAATATGACAAAATCCAATAGCCATTCATGAAACAAGCAACTCCCAATTCAAACTTCCAAGATATAGTAATTCTAAATGTGTATGTACATGATAACAGAGCTTCAAAACCCATGAAGCAAAAACTGACAAAACTGAAAGGGAAAATAGACAATCTACAATTATATTTGGAAATTTCAACCATCTTCTCTCAGTAATAATTTGGCACTGTCCACTATCAAGCAGTCTAAGATACATTTTATTGGAATCTAGAAAAGGGAGGTAGGAAGAAAAATATTTGAAGAAATAATGGCTGAAATTTTTCTAAAGCAGACAAAAGAAAAATCAGTAAGGATGTATAGAAGTCTTAAATAACACTATCAGTCAACTTGGCCCAACCTACATTTATAGAATACTCAGTAAGAGTAGAATACACACGCCTTGCAAGTACACAGGGAATGTTCAACAAGATATACATATTCTGAACCATAAAATAAGTCTTAATAAATCTAAAACGGATGAAATTATACAAAGTATGTTCTCTGACTATAACATAATTAAATTAGAAATCAATAACAAAAATACATTTGGAAAAATAACCATTTGAAAATTAAACATAAGAGAAATTAGGTAATATTTTGAACTAAATGAAAACAAAAATATAACATTTCAAAATACGCAAGATCAGTCTAAAGCAAGGCTTATTTACACCATTAGAACCAAAAATACCAAACCTGTTGCCGCTGAGTTGATTCCGACTCATAGTGATCCTATAGGACAGAGCAGAACTGCCCCATAGGATTTCCAAGGAGCAGCTGGTGGATTCGAACTGCTGACCTTTTGGTTAGCAGCCGAGCTCTTAAACATTACACCACCAGGTCTCCATTTATAGCATTAGATGCTTATATTAGAAAAGAAGAACAGTTTAAAATCAGTGATAGAAGCTTCCACCTTGTGAAACCAAAAGATGATGAGTAAATTAAACCTAAAGTAAGGAGAAGAAAGGAAATAATACATATAAAAGTGGAAATTAGTGAAACAGAAAATAGATAAACATAATACAGAAACCAAAAGCTGATTCTTTGTAAAGATGAATAAAATTGGTAAACTTCTGGCCAGAATGATAAAAAAAAAAGATACAAATTATCAACATCAGGAATGAAATAGAAGACATCATTACAGAAGCTACAGATAGATATTAAATGGATAAAAATGTAATATTAGAATGACTTTATGCCAATAAATTCTACAACTTAGGTGAAACAAAAAACTCTGAAAGACACAAAGCACCAAAGTTCACTCAAGAAAAAATAGATAACTTGAATAGTTCTATAATATATATATAAAACTGCATTCATAGTTAAATAACTTCCCACACACACATAAACAAAACCTCAAGGTCCAGATGGGTTCCACTGTTGAACTTGACCAAATATTTAAGGAAGAAATAATACAAAATTTTCCAGAAAATAAGAGGGGAGAGAACACCTCTCAACTCATTTTAGGAAGCCAGCATTATCCTAATCCCAAACTGCAGAAAATCATTACAAGAAAAGAACTACAGACCAATATCCCTTATGAACACAGACATAAAATCCTTAACAAAATATTAGTAAACTGAATACAGCAATATATACATAGAAATGAAAGTTGGGTTAATAATAAAAATCAATCAGTGATATTACCAAAACTAACAGAATAAAGAAGAAAAATCATGACAACAGACATAAATACACGTAAAAAATGTGACAAAATTCAACACCGCTTCATGATACAAACTCTCAGCAAACTAGGAAGAGAAAGGAAATTCCTCAACCTGATAAAGGGCAACTATAAAAAACCTACAGTTCATCAACCTTACAGAAATAAAAGGGTTTATAAGGAAATACTATAAACAACAGTATGCTAACAAATTAGATAACCTAGATGAAATGGAAAAATTCCTTAAAAGGTATAAATTACTGAAACTGATTCAAGAAGAAACAGAATATCTGAACAGACCTATAGAAAAGAGACTAAACTAGTAATCAAAAATACTCCCCTCCCCACCTCCACCCCCAAGGGAAAAAAAACACCAGGCTCAGATGGCTTCACTGGTGAATTCTACCATTAATTAAAAGAAGAACTGACACTAATCCTTCACAAACTCTTGCAAAAAACAGAAGAACAGGAAACACATTCCAGTTCATTTTATGAGGCATTATCCTGGTAACAAAATTAGAGAAACATACCACAAGAAAACTACAGCCCAATATCCCTTAGGAATATAGACGTGAGCATCCTCAATGAAATACTAGCAAACTGAATCCAGCAGCATATATTGCTCAATAATAAAAAGACAACCCAAGTGAAAAACAGGCAAAGGATTGGAATAGATATCTCTCCAAAGAAGAGATACAATTGGCCAATAAGCACATGAAAAGATGCTCAATATCTTTAGTTATCAGGGACATGCCAATCAAAACTATAAAAAGATACCACTTCATACCCATTAGGCTGGCCACAATGAAAAAGACAGACAATAACAAGTGTTGGTGAGGATGTGGAGAAATCAGAACCCTCATATATTGCTGGTGGGAATGTAAAACAGTGAAACTGCTTTGGAAAACAGTCTGGCAGTTCCTCAAATGGTTAAACACAGAGTTCACATATGATCCAGTAATTCCACTCCTAGGTATATACCCAAGAGAAGTGAAAACATATGTCCATTTAGGGGGCATCAAGTTCATGTTAATGATGGTGTAATGATTTGGAAAAGGACAGTGAAAATGGTTGTACAACTTGAAGTCATCAGTGTCACATGTAGAAAACTGCTGAGATGGCGTATACTTTGCTGTGTATATTTTTACAATAAAATTAAAAAAAAACATACGTCCACACACACACACTTGTACTTGATGTTCATAGCAGCTTTACTTATAATAGCCTAAAATTGGAGACAACAAACCAATTGTTTATCAACTGGTGAATGGATAAACAAAGTGTGGTATATTTGAACAATGGAACACTACTTGGCAATAAAGAAGAACTACTGATAAGATTTGATAACATGAATGAAGCTCAAAAGCCCACTAAGTGAAAGAAACCATACACAAAATGTTACTAATTCCAATTGTGTGATTCCATTTATAAAAAATTCCAATACACGTAAAACTACAGTGATAAAAAGCAGACAGCGGTTGTCATGGGCTAGGTGGAGGGAAGAGATTGGCTGTAAAGGGGCATGAAGGAACTTTCTGGGTGGACAGTAATGTTACACATTTTGACGGTGATGGTGGTTAAGTGACTGTCTACATTTGTCAAAACCCATCAACCTGTACTCTTAAATTTGGTAAATTATATCTCAGTAAATCTGATTTTTAATAGACTGGAAAGAAATCTATTAAAATAGTAACAGTGAGTACTGAGATTACAGCTGATGCTTCATTTTCTAACTTCTCTGCATTTTCCCTACTTCCTTTAGTGAACAGACCTTACTTTTAAAAAGGAAAATAACAAGCACAAATTTTAAAATGAGAACAAGCAGTCTTTCTTGTTGACTCCAGTAGAGTTCAGGTTGTTGAAGCCCTGGATTCAGTGGCATCACTAGAGGGGTGTGGCACGGTGGCAGGTGAGCTGACAGTGTAGGGGGATGCGCCGCCAAGGCAGTGGTATCACTAGGGCTGGTGTCACCCCGTACAGTAACTCATCACCCCCCAGTCAGGGTGTGGGCAGGTAGAGGAGGGTCTCTGCCTTGGCCAATAGGAGAGGGGAGGAACTCTGAGGAGCTGCAGTGGGGAGGGCCGAAAGGGGCAGGGGATTTGGGCCTGCACGGGGGTGGGGACGTTCACTGGCTGGCCCTGTCCATGGCAAGGAGTGGCACCATGAGTTACCACACTGGGTAACACCAACCTTCGTGAAGCCACTGCCTGGATTTGAACCTGGCTCTGCCATGTTGAGTTAGTCACTTCAACTCTCTAGGTGAGCTGCAGGATGACTGCCCCATTCTTTGCCCTTCCGCACGACTTGGAATCGCAATTACTCAACCTAGCATTTGACAGCAATGACTAGTACTGGCTGATTACAAAAATATTCCTTCTGTATCCCACAGAAAGGAGCTCTGGTGGTGCAGAGGTTAAGTGCTCAGCTGCTAACCAAGTCAGTGGTTTGAACCCACTAGCAGATCCATGAAAGAAAGATGTGGCAGTCTGCTTCCGTAAAGATTACAGCCTTGGAAACTCTATGGGGCAGTTCTACTCCGTCCTGTAAGATCACTGAGTCAAATTCAATCTGATAACAATGGGTTTGGTTTTTTGGTATATCCCACAGACACTGCTCCTGACATGGGTGAGGTACTCGGTAAATGCTCTGGGGACAGACCTGATTTATACCCATAGCCTGAGCTGAAAATAAGGTTTACTGGATGTGGCTATGCCTGTGTACCACAGTCACATACATTTTTCTGCAGAGGGCTGAATGCAAAGCTGGAGTAAAGGCTGTCTTGCAGAGAGAGATTATTTCAGGGAGAAGAAAGCAGCTGTTTCTAGCAGGGGATGGAAAAGGACGCATCTGCTGTTGTTGGGTCTTAGAACATGTCATGGCCCTCAATACGTTACATATGTCATCTCCAGAACCCTCACCCCTCCCTGTAGGTAGGGCTTATTAGTCCACTTTACAGATGAGAAGACTCAAGTCCAGAGAAGTGAAGTGGCTGAAAGGAATCAGAAACCAGGTCTGGCCACCACCAAAATCCTGAAACCATGAGTGGCCAACTTGTTGGCTGCCTGGGGACATCCCTGCATTCCTCTTGGCCACCATCCTCCTGACAATGCTGTAATCAGGGAGCTGGAAGGAATGATCTCTAAGGAGCTGCCATCTCTGCTAATCCTCCTCCTGGTCTACCTGAGGCTGCATAAGGTGGTTGCTGAAAGCACAGGCTCTGGAGTTCACAGTGCGGGTTGAAATCCTGGTCCTGTCATTTGTGACCACATAGCCTTGAGCAAGTTACATAATGATTCTGTGTCTCAGTTTACTTGCCTACAAAACAGAGCTAATATGAACACTTAACTCAGAGGGCTGTTCTGAGAATTAAATGAGTTAATCCGCATAAAACTCTTAGAACAAGGCCTGGCACAAAGTAAGAGCTCAAAACATGTTGGATCATTTTTACTAGATGAGTATCACTGGGCCAGTGATTATGTTCTCTGAACCTCAGTCTTCTCATCTGTATAATGGAGATGATAGTGTCAGCTAGCTAACAGGTTTGTTGGGGAAGATTTGATGCAATAATCTACATAAAGCTCTAAGTGCCACACTTGACACATTTGTAAGCACTCACTAGATGTTAGCTATTTTTAGTATTACTACTGCCAAAACACACTCCTGAGCTGTCACCCGGGGCAAGACAGGTTTTCCCACAGAACAGGAAGTTTATTAGCAAGAATTACCCTGTGCTATTCAGCAGCCCCTTAATGAGATTGGTGTTATTCGAGGCTGATCCTCCTTATCAGTGGTGCTGTGAACTGTGAAGATCATGATGCTTAATTTCTCTCTATGGAGTCAATCCTTTAATCCTGATTCAGCCTGGCCGGGATTTTGAATGCTTTGCACTGGAGTGCCAGGGAGCATTCTCTGGCTGCGCTGGACCACAACAAAGCAGTCCAAAGCTCCTCCTGGAAAACAAGCCTAGATGCTTGGGTGAGGTGGGGCTACTGCAGGGCCCAGCCTCGATTTGCATTTTAATGGCCTCCTCCTTTAGTGGGAAGCACAGCTACTGAGACTCTGCCCTAATTACTGCTAGGCTTCCAGAAGCTGGCAGAGGGGTGGGTGGAGGGTCTGGGGTTTCAGAGGCTGAGGAGGGTCTAAGCTGTGGAGTGTGCGCTCAGGCCGTGGTCCCCACGCAGCCTTCCAATGGCTGTCACTAGCTCTGAAGCTTCCATGGCTCCTGGCTCCCTCAGCCTACCTTCAAGGCCTTCCCTGGTGAAAGATGGTTGATGGCAAAGACAGCTTGAGATGTGAGACTCATAAAGACAGAACCTTGGAGTGAGGAGGGCAGTTGGAGACCAGAGGTTCCAGTGCCCTTGGTCTCCAGACGGAGACACCCGGAGGGACACACAGTTTCCTCCTGAGGTCACAAAGCATCAAGGCACACCAGTTAGAGCAGGGCTAGAACTTCCAAGGGTCTTGGCTGCCAATCCAGAGACTAGCCTGATTTTAATGAATTCATTAGAATAATAGGATCCAAAAAAGATCATATGAGTTAGTGCCTAGTGTACAGCAAATACCCAGTAAACATATGCTGAATGAAAGAATGAATGAATGGAGATCACACTAAGAGAATCTTAAGACAAGAGACTAGTACCCCATGGTCGCCAGGCCACACCTAGAGGACATGTAAACCTAAGAAGGATACAAATAGTACTAGTAATAGTAATAATGGAGTCCATGGGTGGTGCAAATGGTTAACACACTCAGATACTAACTAAATGGGCTAGAGGTTCGAGTCCATCCAAAGGCACCTCAGAAGAAAGGCTTGGCAATCTACTTCCAAAAAATCAGCTATTGAAAACTCTACAGACTATAGTTCTACTCTGACACACATGGGGTCGCCACGAGTAGGAGCTGACTTGATGGCAACTGGTTTTGGTAACTGTACTAACAGCAGCTGCCAATTCTGGAACCACCATTACGTGTCAGGTATGTTTCACACACTACTTCTCGTGCCTCCAGAGGATCACTCTGAGGAAAGGCGTGGCAGGGACCCCTAGTGTTTCCCTTTGCAGAGTACCGGGCTGTCCATAGGCAGTGGCTGCCTGGCCAGCTTGGACATTTTCCAGCTGCACACTTCTGCCCATGGATTCAGGCTTGCCATGTGGCTAATACCCCTTGGGCCCCTTACCTGCATGGGACTGCATGTGCTCCAAGAGGTTGTTGTAGAACTGGAACTGGATGCCACAGGCGCCACAGGTGTAGGGTTCTGGGGGGAGATGCGAGGCAGCCATGTTAGGGGCAGAGTAAACCTGGCCGTCCCTCTGCTGGACTGTGGCAACTTTGGCACTGGGAACCCACACACACATTGGGTTTTGGGGCTCTAGGCCCAACCTGTCTGCCTCCCCTGTCTATAAATCAGCGAGGGAGAGGCTGGGGGAAAGGAAGGAGCGATGGAGACAGGAAGACATGCAGATAAGGGGACAATCTCTTCAATGAAGTGGGCATTTATTGAGTGCTCACTGTGTGCCAGGCACTGTTCTGGGCACCGGGGACGATGTGGGAACGGAAGGACAACATCACTAGACCAAGAGCTCTCTCAGGGCAGGGATCACGTCTTATTTGTTTCATAGCCCATCTCTCTGCCTGTGGAACCACTCAGAGGTCACTGCACTGTTGGCTGAATGAATGTATGAATGAATGTGTAGTGAACAAAACACAAAGTAACAGACACACAGGGCGGTAAACAGGAGGGGGAAAGCAAGACAGAAGGTAAAAGGTGGAGAAAGCCACAGCAAAGCCTGAGGAAATGGGAATAAGAAGGGGCAAGGGCAGAAAAGAGGGAGAGTGCATGCTGGAAGGGAACAAGTGTACGATGGGCTTTATCCTTCATCCCAGTGTTCCCAACACAGCTCAGTGCCGACAGAGAGAAGAGGGAGGAAGAAGAAAGGAAGAGGGGTGAAAAGAATAAGGAAAAGAGAGCAAAGATGGCTGAGGTGGGGCTCGGAAGAGGTGTCCTGAGGCTGCCCCAATGAGCAGGAATCGGGAGGCCTGGCTTCCTTCAGGGCTTGGGTAGTGGAGGCAGGCTGCCCGGTCAGGGTTCTGCCTTGCCCCTGTCCAAGCTCCTCCACCCCATCAGCCTCTGCCAGCTTTGGGGTTGGCCCAGGAGGGTGGCCCAAGTCAGCTGCTCTGGGAAGGTCCTCAGAGGATATGGCCAGCTGAGTAAATTCCCTGCCCTGCCTCACCCTCTCCAGCCCTGAAAACCCAACGGGACCATCACTTACTCTGTAGGAGAGGGAAAGGATTGGAAATCAGAGGACTTGCAGTTTCTGCAAAAGAGAAACAGTTTAGCCAAGTCTCTTCCAGTTCTGGTGCCTTGTGATGAACATCATCATTTCTATTCCTAATAACCGTGAGCCAGATGGGGCTCTCGGAGAAGGGGAGAGGGGCATCTGAGAGCAAGGCTGACAGTCTAGGGTGGAGCTGGGGACAGGCTTGGCCTGGAGGACATGTCCTCCAGAGAATCCAGGTATCCCGTGGTGAGATGAGGCAGGGCCCTCCCTCTAGGGCACCCTCAACTCTGAACCACTGAACACCAGGGAGAAAATGTGCATGAAGTGGCAGCCTACTTTGGGACAGGGAGTTGGAAGCTGCTTCTAGGTCCTTTCCCTGGAATAGGAACGTCGGTACCAAATACCAGGGCAGTCACAGAGGGGGGCTGTGCTTTTAAGTGTTTCTGCTTCCTCGCGTTGTCAGGGGCAAGGGTTGGTGGCCTCATCTGCCAGAGGCAGCAGAGTGGGGCCCCACACACTGGACTGTGAATGCCGGCTCCACCACTTACAACCTGGGTGACTCGGGGCCACAATTTACCACTCCTGAGCCTCAGGTTCCTCATTCAAAAAGTGGGGTAGCAATAACACTGACTCTCACAGCGTGGTGGTAGGATGAAAACAGATAAAGACACATAAACCTCTGAACACATGCCAGGCACACAGTAAGCACTCAAAAAATGGTGGCTGCCAGCGGCAGGACTTTTACACCATCCCCAATTCTGAATGTCAGCTCTCATGGAAGAAGAGGCAAAGGGGGTGCAGCAAAGCTTAGCTGAGAGCTGGGCCCCATCGCAGTGCCACTACTGATTCCCATGTGACTTTGTGCAAGTCACCCCACTCTGTTAGGACCACCTGCCCTGCTGGGTGCAGAGAGGTTAAGCGTGCACCTTGCGTACCTCTTGGAGAGGTTGTATGGAGTAAAATTTTTTAAAGGGTGAAACAGCTTGGAAAAGTCAATACGTTCTCTGTGATTTAAAGGGTCATGCCAACATTCTCGGGGCCCCCACCACACACCTCAGCCCCCTCCTCAGGGCACTAATCAAGTCTGAAATCGCTTGGTTTACTTAAACCACCACCACCACCACCACCCTAACATCTGAGTGCGTAATCTATGCCAGGCACTCGCTGAGTGCTCACAACCGCCACGGGATGTGAGTGTCATTCTCACTTTACAGCGGAGGAGAAGTTAAGAGACTTGCCCAGGTCACCCAGCTCATAAGTGGTGGAGCTGGGGTTCGAACCTCAGCTAGAGACTAAAGCTGGAGTTCATATTACCACGAGAAGCCTGCATGTTAAAGCCTGTGCTCCTGACTGATTTATAAAGGCCCTGGCGGTTGAGCCATGTTCTCCACCTCTCTACACCCAGGCAGTGCCCAGCACAGGGCCTGACACAGGGCAGCACCTAACGTTTGGTGAATTCAACTTCAACCGTGCAAGGCACGTGAGTGGGGGCCTTACCTTAATGTAACCACAGTGTCAGAATTCTTTTCCCATCCTGCCCTGGCCTTCCCTGTGCAGACTGGCCTGCTGTGCCTTTCTTGGACAGAGGATGCTTGTGCCCACTCCAGCCCTGCCAGGCTGATCCTGGGTTTTCCTGGGGTCGAGTAGCTCTCTGCAGCTCTGTTCTAGGGGCTCCAAGGCTCTGTCAGGTTCTGCATGCAGCAGCCAAGACGGGGCACCAGAACACCACCAAGAACCTTAGGCAAACCTGCCTGAGCTGGTAGGGGCTGGAAGGGAACCTTTGTTTGGACTGCCTCCCCCAACCCCTTGGATCCAAAGTGGGGTCAGAACTTGGTGCCTAGGCTATTACTTCATAGCTCCTTCTACTGTACCCCCCTGCCTCTACTGGAAAGAAACTGCCTGCGACCCTTACCCTAAAAATGTAGCAATGGCCCCCTTAGGCCCAAACATCTAAGGCCTATGGGAGTTGATGCCTCAGGCTATGGGGTGGGTTGGCAGGGGGGGTCCCTCTCTCCATGGAGAAGAGACAAGAAGGACCCATAGTCCCTGTGAAGCTGAGGCCCAGAGGGATGTCCCTGGAAGAAAAGGCCCCTCCAGCCTCTGCTTGGCCCTGGCTTCTTTCTAATTCCCTGCCTCCAGCCTCTACCCCAGGAGACCTTTTTCATGCACCAGGCATGCTCCAGGAAGACCTCAGCGCACAGAGCACCTGCTGCCTAGCAGAAGCAGCCGCAGCAGCTGCAGCACTGGATGGCTACCATGAGGCACACTCACCGCTGGAGTTTTGGGAACTGCTATTGGTCTCTTCAAAGTGGTTTTGTGCTTTGCCTTCTACTCTCCGACTGAAAGCGCTTTCTGCTGGGTGGCGGACAGGCGGGAGAAAGAGAAAACAATGGTGATTGGTCAGCATCAGGTCTAAAGGGGGGCAGGCAAGAGGAAGCTCAGGAGCCGTGGGTACCTCACAACTGCCCAGACCCCGAGGCTGGGTGAGTTCCGAGGGTCTTGGTCATGAGGTATATGGGGCATAGGACCTCACACCTGACTCCCCAGCCAGGCTCACCTGAGTTGCCCTGACACATTGCCAAGACCCCAAAAGACCCTTACAGTGCTGGGAGGGGATGGAGGCCGGGGGTGGGGGGACAGTCATCTGACCAAGAGCATACACATGCATCCAGCCCAGTGACCAGACGGCAGACGGGCCTCAGGCTCCCTTCTTGGGCTGCTGGGAGCCACACTGATAACACCAAGTAACTGGGCCTGCCACCCACTCCTCCCCAGGCCAGGTTTCACTGCTGCAGCCACCACAAAGAAGCAGGGAGGATGACAGACTGTTTCCTGGTGGTGGATCTGGCAGAGTGGAAGGAAATATCAGATGGCTGATGGTCCCTGGGTAGTAGGGAGGGCCTTCTGGGAGAGAGGGTGTGTTGGCAAGAGCCTGGGCAGCCCCACTCCCTCGGAGGCCAAAGACCATGGTGAGGTCTGGTCAGAGTTCACCTAGGGAAAGGGACTGGCTCCTCAAGTGATTCAGGGGCATTGTAGTATACAAGCTGGCATCTTCCTGCCTGGCTCATGCCTCTCCCAGCCACTCTCCAGAGGCCCCATGATGCACAGATAAGGTCTAACCAGGTGGAATCACACAGGTTTAACTCCCCTACCCCCACCCCCAAAGAAAGTACTGAGAGCACAGGACAGAATACCTGAATTGGAAGGCAATCTGGCTTCCCCAGGGTGCTCTTGGCACACTGGGCTGCCAGACACTCCAGTGGAAAAAGGCTTCAAAGAACAAGTCAACTGGGGACATGCAGCCACCCCATCCTTTTCTTAAAGAGTAACCACTTGCATGAGGTTATTAAAGGCTCTGAGATGTTTGACTGGAAAGAGGTTCATTTAGCTTCATGCAACCCAGCCTTTTCCAAACATATCTGGTCATAGAACCCTATTTTGTTTTGTTTTTAAAACAGCAGATCCCTCGATATTCCATGCAAATGGGGATCCTGGGAACCTGCTTTGGGAAATGCCCCTCACTCCATCCAGCCTTCTCCAGAAAGGCAAGTGCTCAGACTGTGGCGGCCACGGTTCCTGATGATAATGGGGGTGATGCGAAAGATCCTACAAGACAGATCCTACAAGGCCCTGCTCAATTCCCCACACCCTCACCCCTGCCTGGTCAACGCCTCCTGATGGAGCCTCCTTTCTGCAGAGGCTGTTGATAATACCACAAGTAGACCCTCCTTTCAAAATCTGTCTGTAAATGCCTGGGTGCCTGGGCTGAGAGCCACATACCTGCCCACCTCTAGAAACCATCTGTAAACTGGCAAAGAAGAGCCTACAATTCTTTGTCTAGGGAAACGGGAGGGGACTCCCAGTTACTGAGCACCCACTACACTCCAGGCCCTGGTCCAGATACTTCACACTCATGTTCTCCCTTACTCCTTCCAAGAGCTCTATGGGTGAAAAAAACAGAGGATCCCATTTTACAGGTGAGAAAAACAGTGGAAAGGGTGAGATTGTGAAGTTCCTGGGGCTAGATGCATTCCTAATCCTCTAAGATGGTAGAAGGAGACTTCAGTCTTGGGACAGACGCTTTCTTTTTTAAAAAGGTCTGGGAGTAGGAAAGAGAGCTTTCTCTATCTTAATCCTCGTATATGCAGAGGGATCGGTACCCATCTGTGGAGGTTTTCTGTTCAGGCTGACCAACATATTGATAGAACTTAGCACAAGTGAGGTTACAAACTCTTATGATTTGTCTTCTATGACTCAGCTGATAAAGTAAATGTTGGCAGCTATCCCTGCGACAGGTACCTCTGGCTGAATGCCTGTGTGTAGTACCGTAGTGAACTCCACACTTGAGCATGCCCACACTGGCACACAAAGAGTCGCTTATTCTAGGATAATGAGGGCAGTAACAACTTCCAGCTGTGACATGTGTCCTTATAATCCCAAGCATGTTCCTGCTCACAACCCAGCTGGTAAATCCAGATGTAACCCCTACCACAATTCTTCCAAATCACATGAAAGCAGCCCCAGGCATGCCCCATAGCTTGCCGGATGCTTACTGGGGGCAGTGAGGTTCAAAAACCACCACATACCACATAGGCCCTGCAGGTGGTTCTTCTCTATAGAAAGTGCAGGTGTAAACATTCCCGCCCACAAGCTTAAGAGTAAAAGCAAGATTTGAAAGCCATGATTCCATTTTTCAGTTGAACTAATACCCACCACCAATGAGCCTGTGATGACTAGTCTGTTTATAAATAATTTATGACAACTGTTGCAAAAATGCAATGGCTGCGGGCTTTTCTCAACACAGTAGTTAACTTAAAGGTTGATTAACTACCCTCCTTTTAAGAGATCTAAGGACAACAAATACAAGTTCAAAAACTTTTAAAAACCACCCCCTTCCTCAAAATTAGCCTCCTGAATCAAAGAATAAAGGAGAGCACAACTAACCACTTGGCCATGTCCTCGGTCCTCAAACTGATGGTTTATTTTACTGAGTTCTCAACTGAACCACTTGTTTATTTAATGGATGGCTTTAGGTATCCTGAGGGCAACTGAAAGGTTCATGGTCCCAGAGGTACCACCATCATCACCTCCACTCTATATCCCACCAGGTAGGAGGCCCAAAGCTCGTTCCATCCAGGTGTGAATCAGGTGCCTAATAGCCAATGCTCAGCACACAGTGTGTCTTATCAGTTTCCATGGGGGAAATGGCTGCTGTGAACCTTTCACTGCCTGGTCATCTTTTGAAAGTCAGAGCCTCTCTCGGCATGATCTCAGAAAGCACTGGAGCTGGCATCCATTGGTTTCCAACTGGGCCTATGACTCATGGAGGGATCTCAGGGTAGTGCTGGGTGGAAAGAGGCCAAGAGAACAGAGCTCTAGGCCTACCACCCTGCTGCATGGAAAGCAGCTCCTCATTAAAGTAAATGTATATATTGAGTTTTCTGAAAGGTAGAGTATGTAAAGTCACGCCAATAGGGTCCAGGCAGGTAACATAAATGGATGAACTGGGCTGGATGTAAGATAGACAACAGTGTGATCACAATGAGAAATGACAACTGTCACGTGGCCTCTGTGATGGGAGGCAGTAGGAAGTGGTGGGGACTCTGAAAAAATAGAGAGCACATGCCCTGTTAAGGGTGCAGCTGTGGCTTAGCCCCAGCCCATTGTTACCCTGCAGGAAAGGGGGCCCAGGACTGCCAGATCTGACTTTTCAATGTCAGCTAAAAATTTAGTTTTACATAAAATATAATATCCAAATGTTGGCCATTAATTAAAAAAATATATATTTTTAACTTTGTGAAGCCCAAATAAAACAGACCTTAGGCTATAATACGGTGGGAAAAACTCTACGACTTAAAAAAATAGTTTGCAAACCACCTTGTACAACCCTCTGATTTAAGGTGAGAAAACCCGGCCCCAGAGAGGTTAGGTGGCTTGCCCTTGGGCACAGAGCCCAGAGGCAGAGATGTGACCCAGATTTGTCCCAGAGCACTATGGGATCTCCACTCTCCCTCCTGCAAGGGAACAACGACCCTGGGCATGGCTGTGGCAGGTGGGGAGAGGGGTAGGGAGTGGAGGAAGTGTAACATAGGCCATTGGTACCTGCAGTTGCCTTGCTTGCTGGAGATCCCGAATTTGGAGTGCGGAACGTCTGGGTTTGGGTGGCTGGAGGGGTGCGGTGTAAGAGGGTGGTGCATCGGACCACGGAGGCCGGAGCTTTTTTCCCCGACTGGTTCGTCTGGGTCTTCGCTGCCACGAAGCGTGGAGACGGGGAGACCTCTGGATGTGAACACTCAGAACCCGTGTCTGGATCGTCCGGTGGCTCCCACCCGGGGGTGGTACCTGAGAGGATCACGCTCTCAGTCCTCATGCACCCTCGGAGCCGGCGGAGTGGCTGGGCTCTCAGGCCACAGGCTCCCATGCACAAGGGTCGGGCCTTGGTCCACCAAACCTCTTCTCAATCCAGAGCAAGGACCCTCACTCCCACCCACAGCCCGAGAAAGTCTGGGAGTCTAGAGTCTAGAATCTTCATTAGCTTCTCTTCTAGGGAAGCCTCATCAATGTTACCTAGAGGTCATTTAGCAGCCCACTGTATAACTCACTCATAATCTTGACCAGTCGGTCTCTGTGTGTCTAAACTCAGGTTCTGACTCATGCTTAGGGCATCTGAACTACAACCCAGCCCCAAGTGCATTTTCCAGAATGTTGGCTTCTAAGTTCCTTTTCCTTCAAACGAAGGCTTGTTTGGAAGTGTAATGACAGAAAGCACACACACAAGGACATGCTGGGGCTGAGTTGGCGGAGGCAGGGGAGGGCGGAAGTGCCCACCTGAGGTGTTAGGAGAGGGGGCTCTGTGGTACTCCCTGGCATGGAGTACGAATTGCTGCTTTGGGGAGACAGTGCTTAACCCAATGCCTGATGCTTCAGTCTCTGTGATCTTGGACACTTTACTTCCCCTTTCTTGGCCTCAGCTCCCCCAACTCCACCTTCCCTGATCAAAGTGCAGCAACCATCCCTGTGCTACCAGCTCCCCAGAGGTTTTGTGAGAACCCAAGAAAATCAGAAAAGTCCTTGAGTGGTAAACTGCTATTCAAATGTAAGCAGCTATTATGGATTTTTTTTTTAAAGAGACAAAGAAACCAAGGCCCAGAATGGTTGATGAACTTGTTTACGGCCACACAGGAAGTTAGTGCCAGGAAAGGACAGGAGTCACGGCTGCAAGCTGCTCGTGAAGGTGTTTGCACAAGGCCACGTGGACCCCATGGCACTAACCCACATATCCCAGGATCTGAGTACAAGGAACACAGAATTTTGGAGCAATAAACTGAGCAAGTTGTCTTCCAACTTAGTCCTCTGTCTCTGTACCTGCAGAATGGCTTCTAGGAGTCCCTCCAGCTCAGACTTTCCATAGTCTATGATTCTAGCTATAAAATCCTGGTAGTCCTGTAAGAGAGGCCCCTTCTTCCCTGGGGCAGGGAGCTCAAGGACACCCATAGAGCACACAACATAATAAACCTGGTTTACCCAGGTCACTCACCCCTTTGTCTTCTCATATCCTACAATACTCTTTCTCTTTCCAGCTTCATGGCCTTTGCCCATGCTAACTTCTGACTGCCTGGCATGTTCTTCTCAAGTTTTTGCCTGGCTAACTACTGCTGGTAACTACTTAAACATCAGTTAAACATCAGTGCTGCTTAAACACCACTTCCTCATGGAAGTCCTCCCTGGTACTTCCCCACCTGATCACTTGTTTTTCAGGCCCGTCTCTTACTCACTTCCAAGTGCTGACTGCCATTGATAATGACACATGGTGTGATCTTTTAATCAATGTCTTTTTCCTCCATTTACCTCTACACCCTCTGAGGGCAGGGATTCTGCCAGTTTGGCCCACTGATACACTCAGCTATCGGGATATTCCCTGACCTATAGTAAGTGGTCAATAAACATAGAGGAATCAATGAAATCAGTGAAACAATGAGTGAATGGTCAGAAAAGTAAAACTCAGAAATGGTGAAATACAATACATCAAAGATATGATGTCCAAGGAGAGGTCATAACTGGGCCATGAAGTGGTCGTGTATATTACCCTCCCATCGGCCCCAAGGGCAGACAAGGCAGATAGAGACACTGAGGCTCAGAGAGGTAAAAGTACCACTCTAAGATCACAGAGCAGGTCAAGCTGAGCCAGGATGAAATTTCCTAGGCTTCTAACTACTCATTTAGAAGCAATGGCAAGACTCTGTCTCATCTACTTTGGACACATTCTCGAGAGGGATCAGTCCTTGGAGAAGGACACCATGCTTCGTAAAGCAGAGGGTCAGCAAAAAAGAGGAAGACCCTCAACAAGATGGACAGACACCGTGGCTGCAACAATGGGCTCAAAGATAGCAATGACTGTGAGGATGGAGCAGGACCGCGCAGTGTTTTGCTCTGTTGTCGCTATGAGCTGGAACCAACCTGACAGCACCTAACAACAACAATTACTCATTTCACTCCATCCCCTGCCTTCTGACGTGGAACATTATCACATGCTGGAATTCCTAGCTTGGCTCTCACCAAGAAAGGAGGAAAGAGTCTCAGATGGTCTGGCTGATTGCCCTCATAAGAAGCACATTAAGATATTTAAACATAAGAGATATTTAAAAGATAACAGGGCACTGTAGCCTCTCTGTTCTGAAGAGCTTAAAATGTAATAGGATTTAAAAATTCAGAGAATATAAGGATTCGAGAAAAGGGACCATACAGCCGAGAGAAGGGAGAGTCTAGGGGTCTGCCTGAAACCTTTACTAGGTATTGGAGGGTGAAAATGCATTCAAGGCAAATGGGAGTGGTGTGGTCAGAGGCTGGAGATGTAATGAATGGGAGAGGTGATGCAGAAGGAACCTAATGTGGGAAACCTTCCTTATGGATTTTAGCCTTAAAAAGAGAACTGGAGAGCTTATACTTTTGCCATGATGGAGTAACTGGTATAGGACTAGCCCTTCTGCCAAATTCAACCATAAAACTGGATAAAATACATGAAACAACTGTTTTCAGACCTTGGACAGCAGGCAGTACAGGACTGTGATTCATGAGAGAAGAGAAACACATGATGTGAGCCCCATGATCACTCCAGCCCGCTACTTGGAGAGACCCTCTGGACCATGGCACAGAGAGGTGAAGCCCAAAGAAAGCATGGCAATCTTGGTGGCCTAAGACAGTGATGAGAGTTCAGGGATGCTGAGGGGGCTGGAATTTGCAAGGTGGAATAGCAAAGAGAAAAGACCTATGTGAAAAAGAAATTTTAGAAATGTGCATGGAGACCTTGGAAATCTTTGTCTGAATATTGTAATTGTTCAGAGTGAGCCCCTGCAAAGCCTGGGAAAAAACAGCTACTAGGGAGCTGTCTGAGGTCATGCAGGGCTGGGAAATATCTGAGTTTCCATCTGCCAGAGAGAAGAGACCTTGCTGAATATCGCAGGCATTCAGTTGAGACCCAGAAAGGCCATGTATTAAATGAAGGGCTACTCTAAAGCTAGAATAAGGACTACTCCAGACCTGCCCTAACAAAGCTTAAAAATAAGCCTTTAGAGTGTCAACTGAGCTGTAAATAAATTAACTGCCTGCCAACAAACCTCAACACTTTTCAAAGGAAGACAACAAAATCCAGACATTTAACAATACAGCACCCAAAATGTGCAGCACATAATACAAAATTACTCATCAGTTGAAGCAGGAAAATCTTACTAGTGATCAAGAGAAACACCAATCAGTAGAAATACACAGAAATGACAGAGGTGATGAAATCAGCAGACAAGGACCTTGAAACAGCTATTACAAATATGCTGAAAGATTTAAAGATGAACATGAACATAATGAAGAGAAACAAAAGGTGTAAAAAGGAATCAAATGGAACTTGTAGACATTAAAAAAATATATGATAGCTAAAATAAAAAATTCACTTGATGGGATAAAAGCAGATTACATGCTACAGAAGAAAAGATCAGTGAACTTGTAAATAAGGCAATAGAAACTACCCAAAATGAAGCACAGCGGGAAAACTTGGCTAAATAAATGAACAGAGCTTCAGTTGGTCTATGAACATCAAACAGTATGACATATATATAATCAAAGTCTTAATAGAAGAGGAAAGAGATTGGGGAAGAGAACCTTGTAAAGAAATACTGGCTAAAATTTGTTCAAGTATGATGAAAAATATAAACCCACTGATCCAAGAAGCTCAATGAATCCCAAATAGGATAAACACAAAGAAAACCACACAGTCATAACTAAACTGCTGAAAACCAGTGATGTAAAGAAATATCTTAAATGCATCCAGAAAAAACAGAAACATTAAATATAAAGAAATTACTATTAGAATGCTAACACTGACTTCTCATCAGGAACAACACATGTTCAAAGACAAAGGAATGACATTTTTCAGTGTTAAAAGAAAAAAATTCTCAATCTAGAATTCCACATCCAGAGAAAACATACTTCAATAGAAAAAGTGAAATAAAAACATTTTCAGTTGAGAGACTCTGTCACCAACAGACCTGCAACACGAGAAATGCTAAAGGAAGTTCTTCAGAGTGATGAAAAATGATAATAAATGGAATTCAGATTTACATGAAGGAAACAGAAGCACAAGAAATGATATATATGTAGGTCAATATAGAAGATACTTTCTTATTTTTTAATTTCATTAAGAGATAATTGACTACTTAAAGCAAAAAGAGTAACTGTTCAGTTTATAACATATGTAGACACATATGTATAAAAATAGCTCAAAGGACAAGAGTGTAATAAATGAAAGTATATTTGCTGTAAGGTTCTTAGATGTGTAATATGATATAAATTCATGGTAGACTGTGATAAATTACAAACCATACGGTAACCACTATAAAATCAAAATGGTATAGCTAGAAAGCTAACGGAGGAGATAAAAAATACCTGGCTAATACAAAGGAAGGCAAAAAAATAAGAAAAAAGGAATAAAAAGAATAAATGAAATAAACAGAAAAAATTCAGCAATATGGTAAAAAACTGTATCGATAGATTATATTACATGTAAATGCACTAAACATTTTAATTAAAGGCAGAGACTGTCAGACTGGATAAAAGAGCAAGAACCAACTGTGTTGGTTCAAGTATAAAGACATAGATTTTAAAAAAAGGATTAAAAGAGATATACTATGCAAACACTAATCATGAAAAAGCTGGAATGGCTATATCAATGTCATAAAGGATGGATTTCAGGACAAGAGTTATTATCAGAAATAAATAAGGGAACTGCAAAATTAAAAAGGTCAACACATCAAGACTTAATTATTCTAAGTGCATGCACCTAATAAGAGAGCTTC